GCCTGTCAGTGGCACCCAGAGGCTTCTCTTCAGTCTTAGCTCTTCAAGCTATCCTGTATCCAAATTCCCCCCTTGCAACTTCACGCACCTCACTGCCCTCAACTCTTGGGAACAGAATTTGAGATCTTGAAAGCCCAGATGAGCCTCATATATCTTTGGAAAGTAGAAGAAATCTTAGTTGGGGTCAGGGGCAGCAAACCAGGGGGCCATTGGTGGAATCAGCTTGCAGACATTTCGAAACCTGTACAGTTTCTTCCTAAAAATTTGAATTGGTGGTAAAGATCTAAAAACCAGATTTCACCAAAAGCTACTGTTCTGGCTTCTTTTAAAAAGCAGTTATATTTGGTAACAAGCAGTCCACATTCCTTCATGGCGTCCACCTGCGAGAGCTGAAGGGCTCTCATTTGCCAGCTTCTACCACTCCCTGCGGTATCACACTCCCCTGCTTCACCCCTTTATACCTGCCTGACTCCTGTCTGGTGTTTAGGTTTGTCTTAAGTTGTTTCCTTTAAGGAGAGCTTCTCAAATATTTCCTCTGCGGGACCCCTAAGATCGGGAGAATGAACCATTTTCCCCAGGGCTTCTGGAACATTCCAAAGTCACCTGTAAGAAGCCAAAAATGTTGTTGAAGTACCTATTTTATGTTTAAAAAGTGCAAATTTCGATTTATACTGCACAGTATATTTGTGTAGCTTAGCATAAAAATAATTTTATCTTCCTCCACCAAATCTTAAAAGTAAAATTGAAACGCTGGAAGATGTACTGTGTGTTTTCTGTAAATCCAAAAATTCCTCACTACATCACCCATAATTAACCCAAGTTAGGCACCACAATGCTCAAGAAGGCACAGAGAGACATGGAAAGAAAGACACGGAGAGAGAGTCAACAAGCAGAAAAGAATATGAAAGACGCTAAGAATGAGTGAGTGATAAGCTCTTTCTGGCCCCAAGTCACACCTCCTGACCTGGCCCAGTCCAGCTCCTGGGAAATTTGTAGACATCCCTGATATCTCTGGACAGGTGTTAGAGTGGTGGCTCGGGGTGAAAAGCAAGTCTCAAAACAGGAGCCAGGCCAAGTAAGGAGACGTGAGGGGCTAAGAGCAGCCAAGTATGGTCAGACGGGAAAGATTGTCTAGGGGCCAGGAGAGAGGCTTGGAGACAGGAAGCGGAGGGTTGAGAAAAGGGCTGGTCAGCATTTGCCCTTTCTCCCACTGAGCCCATCTTTGTTTCACTTCCTCTTACCTCCCCTGCCTCAGAAAAATGAAGTAAAAGAGTTGCCTTGACCTCCTTAGATGAGGGAATCTTCTTTCCAGAATGGCTACATCTCCCACCATAGAAGAGCAGAAGGAGGATGAGTACCAGGGCTCCTTTCCCTGTCCAAATGGGATTTCATCTCTTCTCTCCCCAAGATAGGATATACGCCAGATCTGTGTTCCTGACTTGGGTGAGTTTATTCCCCCATCCTCTTTGGTAAGGCAGACAGGTCTAACTAATCTCCCTCCTATTCCAGGACTTTCAACGCTGCCCTGAATGTAACAAAGAACGTCAAAGACAGGATTTGGATATTTTCCACTAACCATGTATACCAAGAGAAATGGAATCACAGGATGGGGAAGATTAGGGAGAGGCAGGGGTCCAAGTTTTGGGAAGCCCATCTCATAGCTGAGGATCCAGGGAGGAGGAGGAGTTTGAGAATGGGGACTAGTCCCAGACCCAAAGGTCATGGCGACATAGCCTCTCCCTGCATTGGTCAGACCTGGGTCTGAGGAATCCTTGGACCTAAAAAAGGGTCTTAAAAGTCTTGGGCCTTAGCCTCTCAGGTCCTGCAGTTAGGGCTGGATCACTGTCTTCCCACTGAGTCCCATTAGGGTGGCCGGGGGAACCTCCCTTCCCTTTAGGATACAAAACAGCAAATTAAGTTCTGTTGGAGATAAAGCAAAGGCCTTTCTGAGGTGATCCTAGAACTTCTTATTTTCAGCTCTCTGGTCCCAGATGACCTTGAGGAGATAGTGAGGCTCAGCTGGGGAAAGGTCAATGGAGAAGGGGTTACCACTGGTCTGGCCAGATCAGCTAACTGGGCTATTCTTTTCTAGCTCATTTCTCTGTCCTCTGGCCAGACATGATATAAGACGGGAGATGAAGAAGCACCCCCCACCCCCCACCAGCCCCTTCCTCAGTCAGCATCCAAACTGCTTGATGTGAGTCCTGACCTGCAGACTGTGACCTTGAACTCTGATGCAGGGGCTGTCACCTCTTTTGATAGTTGATAGAATTGCTAATCCTCCTGCTACTGGGGCTTAGGCAGTTTCTTGGAAAGGACTGGCTGCATGCCTGAGGTATCTTTAGCTTGCCCAAGCTGAAAATAGGTGGGGAAATCCAGAAGATGGAATGAATTCAGCAAAAGCTGGGCATGTCCTGACTTTTGTTCTCAAAACCATTTAGACTCCTGCAGGTGGATCAACGTAGGCTTGAAGGGTTCCTAGTGGATCTCTAATCCAAATTCCGTCTCAGCTGAAGCTTGCAGACTTGTCATGATTTTCCCAAGGGCACAAGGCTGTGGGGTGGTGAAACTCCGTAACCTGTAACTCCATAAACATATACCCATAACTAGTGCTTTGCTCAGTTGAGACAGCAGCCCTTCCCTTTGGCTTAGTTCTCAACCAGCCCCCGCCTACAGGCCACCCTTCCTTCCTTTCAAAGTTCAAACAGCAATAAAAATGAATTGAGGGAAATCATTGTCTCTTCCTCACTAAACCAGGGGTGCCCTATCCACCCGATATCTGACCTTCCAATTGTGGGTCTCCACTCCCAATCTTCTAAATAACATGTTGCATCCAGGTTTTCCATTCAGCTGTCCCTCAAACCACTTGAGTCCCTGTGAAGTTTGCAAGACCCCACTCTCAAGCTTCCTGCCCACAGTGGGAGGGGACCAGAACCTACGGATGGAACATAGGATAGGGAAGGGTAGGATTCTTGCCAGAGAGCAATCTGCTCAACATAAGCAGGCCCTAGCAGGCAGGTAGCACAGGGCTGAGTGAGCACCGTGTGGGTCCTCTCTAAATGTTTGCAGACGGACCCTCAACCTCTAATCTCTCAGGTGGTCCTCCAGAGATATAAGGAGTTGTGACTGGTTACTGGACCTTAAGCTTCAGCCTCAGCCTGCCCGATGGAACCTATGGAAAGTAGGAGAGAGGTCAATGGAAACAGTCTAACTCTGCCTGGAACTGTTCTGGAATCTGGGGAAGCGGCTAGATCCCATGTCTCTGGCTTTGTTGAGCAAGGTCACCTGCCAAGAGTGGCAGGGCGCCAGATAGGAAAGAATCCAAGAATGGTCTGATCTTTCTAATGCTTTGTTTTTGAGGCAGTACAACGGAACCCAAGTGGTCACTCTAACCTTTGCCCTCCTTTCTCCCATTTCATGGGAAAAGATGTATGTATATAGTGGTGGGAGCAGGAGTGTGTTCCAGTCCTCCTCTACTTTCTGTCTAGAATCTTCTTTATTCTCACTCTTTTAAGGTCCCAGGGATCTGGGGGGCTGGCTGTGCCCCCAACATAGACACAGATATAGCTGATCAGGTTAGGACTGGTATATGTTGGGGAGGGGGACAGGAGGCAAAAGGAGATTTTTCAGTGTCTTTTACATTTGTTTCTTCCTGATTTCTCCACAGCCACAATCACCAGCTAAAGTCTGACTATGGGAAACCCCAGTGACAGGCCCACGGCTCCTCTCCCACCATTCCATGCACTTAACACCTTGGAGAGCTAGAAAAGGAAATACACCAATCAAATTGCTCAATAACTCTGGACTGTTCTCTTTCAATTCCTGCTTCCTACTCTGTTCTCTTGACTGCCTCTACCTTAACACCTATTACCACAGCCAAACCAGGCTTTCAAGGTGCTTTCCCTCAACGAAGTCACAGTCCCTATTCGTTTTTTACAATGGGGTCAGAAAGATCGAACACGAGATTGCCAGTCTCTATCACTTGATGCGGTATATGGAATTCAGTCTGCCTGCCTGAATGTGTTTGGAGAATTTCTTGGAGGTTCTCTTGCACCCCCTCTTCATGACTTTCAAATGTTTTCGTAGGGTCGCTATGACAGCATCCCAGCTATCCGTGCCTGCTTCCTTATTCAGTCCCTATTCTGGACACGCAGCTCGCCCGTGACTGTTGCATGCCAAGTGGCTGGAACCAATCAGCTCATCGAGGGCTTCCTTGGAAGCCAATCAGAGCCTAGGGAAGTGACCTCACCCCAGGGAGAGCTGTGTGGGCGAGAAAGCATCTCTCAGAGCTGAGTGTCCCTAAGTCACTCCCCTCCTCCCCACCCTCCATACTTCCTGTAAAGCGATACCGCCTACCCCCTCTACTCCAAGAAGGGAGTGAGAAAGTCTACCTAAATTCCACAAAGGAAGAACCAAAAGGGAAACTGCAACTCAGCCACAAAGCAGCTTCTGGAAGTGGAGAATGGGGGTTCCTCTTGCACAAACCCATCTTTCAATGTGGAGTCCCCGGGGGGCCTGGAAGAGGGTGTGTGCTGAGGAACAATCAGCACCTCCTCCCTACTCCCTCCCTGCACCTGGCTTTCTTGACTCTCTCTCACAAAAATAGCTGTAATCTTTCCTTGTAAACAAGGACAAGATCAAGGTCAAGTGTGGGAAAGAGAGGGCCCGTGTCCTTGTGAAACATGTGAAAACAGACAATCCATGTCCCGTGGCCTGAGGACCAGAGGTTCGGAAGCCAACTGGTCTTCAGGACATGGGCTGTTCTTCTCTACTCCTCACTCTGAGCAGCCTCATAGATGAGTTCCTGAATGTTCTCTGGCAGGGCTAGAATGGAAGTATGTGTCTCACCATGGGAGTGGAGGGAAGGGGTAAAGGACAGGAAGGCTGTAACCCCCACCCAGTGTCACATTGGACTCTGATGGGTAAGGAAAGAATGGCTCAGCTAGGCACTCCCTTTTTTCCTCCAGGCCTCTCCCACCAGGCCTCACCCTGGACAGAGAGGCAGATAAAAACATTTTATTTAAAAATATAAAGCTGGCCTTACTCCTCCTAACTGCACACACCCCCGATTATCTTTCACTATAAAAAAGTGGGTGGGGGCTTATGTACAGCTCTCTCAGCTCTAACAACTCCAGTATTTCTTTGACCCTTCTTTCTTTCTTTCATACAATTAAGACATTGGTCCTTGGCCCTTTAAGGGAGCTCTGTCATCACTGTCCATTCCTATCTCCAGGGCCAAACAGTTTATCTGGGCTCTAAGCAAATGATTTGCCTGCCCACAAAACCAAATAATAGGGACAGTTACTCTCTGTATCTTAAACCAGAAAGATCCAAAGGTCCAGGGTGCTGTTCAGGGTCCTTTGTCAGTATATAGCCTCATCCATATTGTCATCACTGTCACCCCCAAAGTCCTCTCCATTGTCAAAATACGACATGATGTAATCAGTTTCCTGAAACAGAACAAAAAGAAATCAAAGTCAGGCTTGCTTTCGGCCTTGTCCTTCCTCCCGGTGTGTCAGGCCCCTCCCCTCCCCATGAAACCATCTCAGGCCTGGGAAGTCCCTTTGGCTGCAGTTTGCTCTTGAGAAGAGCCTAGGGACACATGAAATGGAGGGCACGATCCTCCAGGGCACATCTCCTTCGGCTCTCCAACCCTCTAGAGGGAACATCCCTGGTGCGTGGGGTTGAGACCCCCAGAGCTGATGAGGAAGAGATGGGAACTGAGGTTGGAAGGAGAGCTCTTTCACCTCTTCATGTTCTTCTTCATCATACTCCTCTTCTTCTTCCTCTTCCTTCTCTTCTTCTTCTTCTTTCTCCTCATCTTCCTCTGAAGTCACTTCTTCCTCCTTTTTCTCCAGGGTCTTATGTGGAGATGAATAGAAGAAGAAACTCAGACTCAGTTCAGAGAAGGGAAAGAATGAAGCACACATGGGCCAAAGGACGGGGCACGGGTCTGGGGTCCAGGTGGTCTCTGTGCACATTTCCTCCTTACCTCTAGTTTCTGTATTGTTTCTTCCTTATCTTCTGTGTTCTTAGGGGGCCTCTTGGGAATCAGGATGGTGGTCCCTGGTCAAGGAATCAAAAGGTGAACCATCAGAGAGCAAACTTCCTTATTAGCTTTCTACCCCGCCCTCTCGCACAGACGATGTCACTCTGCTGCCCTCATGTGGCCACCATGGCATCCAGCTACAATACTGGGTGGAGTGGGTAGGAACTGGGAGGGCAGGCAAGACCACCCACAGACTCTGGCCCTCCAGCTGATGAAGGAAATCTCTCTTCTGCCTCCTTTTCCCAGATACACTCACGTTCCTTTTGTAGCTTCCGCACTCGGATCTTTAGCTCCCTGGGTAAACGTCGCCAATCTGGGAACAGCAGGAACATAAAAGTCAGTAAGACTCTGCCTGGGGTCTCCTATGAATAACTGGTTTTAAAGGAGAGGTAAGAGACAGGTAATGGTGAGGAAGGAAGGGGTTGGGTCAAAGTTGCTTAGAACAAAACTGTGGCTTGGATGCCTCTAGGAAAGTGGGGCTATTTAATAGGTTTTCGGGGAGAGTCGGAGAGTGTTCTGGAGCACATCTAGGGCTCCAGTTTGTACATACTGAGTAGAGTGGAGGGAGGAACAGAGAAAGGTGGGCGGGTTGGTGGTTTGTGGCATCTTGAGGATTTAAAAAAAGGGCAGTCAATGAAAGGGCCCATCACCTACCAGGGTTCCAATCGATGGCATTGTCAATCGGCCCTGACATCTGATATTTGTCTGAGTAACGCTCCACATCTGAGGGGTCAGAGGCCAAGGGTCAAAGTTTTATCCTTTCAGAGCCCCGGAAGAGGGTTGTTCCTGAGGGCCCAGCCCTCTCAATACTTAGGCATTGTCTGTTCCTTCACCCCAAACCCAGAGCCCAGGGGCTCAGCTTCCATGAGGACCTTCAACACTTTGCCACACCAAATTTTTGTTTTTGTCATCTCCCTTAACCCAAAGGCATGGCCATATTGAGAGGTAGTGTGGTACATTGGAAAGTACACTAAAGAGCAAGAGATCAGGGTTCAAGTCTTCCCTTTACTCTTTGTTAATGGGGCTACCAGGCAAGTCTTTCATCCCTCTGAGCTTCAGCTTCTAAGGCTTCAACTGGAAAGCACTGTTTGTCAATACACTCAAACACTGCACTTCCACACCAGCTGGTAAATATCCACTATCCCAAGCCTCCCAATGACTCCCCTTCTCTGGTTCCTCCTGGTCTCCTTGGCCTCTCCAGAATCCTGCTAACCTTAGGAGGGCTTCTCAGACACCCAGCGTCAGCCTCCCTTCTGATTGTTTGGTGCCTGTAATATCCGACCTGTTAACCATGTTGATATATTCCATTTAAACCTAAGAAATGAGCACCATGATGCTTAACCTCTTACTATCCCCAGACTGTCGTGAGACTCAGAACAAACCACGGATACTAGACTGCATTTCAAAGGCGGGGATAATTGTTATGATCTCCCCAGCTAGACAGTGAGCTTCCTGCACCTCTCCTGGCCTCTCAGGCCCCCAGTGGTGCCGTGTATAGGGCACTACTCATGAAAGGTGCTCAGAACATGATGCTCGTGTTCCAACTGACCTCTCTTGGGGACAGCTGGCCGGATGAAGTAGGGGAGCTGCCTCATGGCCCCTCGCAGCTCCTGCTTCAGCGCCAGGACATACTCCCCTTCCTCTCCTGAGGGCAGGGGCACTGGGCGGAACTCCAAGGGCTAAGGAAGCGGGGCAGTGGTCAGTCCAGGGGAAAAAAAACACTAGAGTACAAACCTAGAAGGGACTCTCCCCCCAGTTCAATCCAATGCTCCCACTGACCAGGGGGCCAAAGAAAAATGGGGGAAGCAATACAGCATTTTGAAAGCTGGGGAGCTGGGAGTGTAAGAAACTACTTTGCCTGGAAAACATCCCATGTGAGTTGGAAGCATAGAGACAGGCAGGGGCAATATGAGTGTTATGGTGGCCCACGAGGAATCCAGGATCATATACTGTCAGCCAGGGACAGACAAGGGGGACAGACACTCACAGGGAAGAGTGGAGAAGGTTGCAGGGTGGGTGGGGGCAGAGCATCCCCCTTCCCAATGCCCACAGCCTCCATGTTGAAGGTCAGCTGGCCCCGGCCACGACCCCGGCCCCCACCCCGACTGGCCATGGTGGAGGGGGCCTGAGTATTCAGTGATCCAGTGAGAAAAACCTGATAAAGACAAAAACAAAAAGAAAAGTATAGTAGAATGATGGGAAGCCAGAGAGGTACAAGGCACTCAATCTTTTCTCCTTAGGACCCAAAGAGCCAGTGTAATTCAACAAATTTTGATGGGGAAGGCATTGTACCAGGCAGGGTATTTCTGGAAATACAGACGTGGATGAGACATGGTCCCAACAGGACAGATAATTGCAGCATAGTGTAATTGTAGAACAAAAGGGAAAGTGGGGGTGCCTGAGTGGCTCAGTGGGTTAAGCGTCCGCCTTTTGATTTCGGCTCAGCTCATGATCACAGGGTCATGATCTCAGGGTCGTGAGATGGAGCCCCGGCACTGACTCCACGCTCAGTGGGGAGTCTGCTTGGATTCTCTTTCTCCCTCTGGCCCTCCTCACTCTCTCTCTCTTTCTCAAATAAATTTAAGAGAAGGGGGGGAGTGATTAGACCCTTGGATAAAACTTCCCTCCATCCCCGAGATAATTTGATATTTGTCACCATCTGCATATCTCCAATAATCTTTGAATTCTTTCTCTCCCTGACTTTCCACACCCAACCAAGCCCCAGGGCAATCCAATGCAATGACTTTCAGCAAAACATTCACTAAGCATCTACTATGGAAAAGGTAGTGTGCCAGGCACTGTGGGGGCACAGGGATAAGTCATTAGTCTCACTGTCAGTGGTGGGAGGTAGGAGTGAGGAGAACCATTACAATCAATTTATTTTTTTTTAAATACAGCTTAGAAGCATGGAATCTTAGAATTGGAAGGACCGATAGAATTACCTAGTCTAAATTCCCTCCCAATGCAGTACTCCACTCTGTAAGTTATTAGTCATTTAAATTCCAGTGGCATTTCCTGGAGAGAGGGTGTCCATTCTCTCCCAAGGCAGCCCATCCCATAGTGATCAACTCTGACGAACTGAAAGTTCCTTCTGCTACTGAACTGAACTTTGCTTCTTGTCATCAATCTTGAGGGGCCAGTCAGAGGCAGATAGGATGGAGGATAAAGTTATCAAGTGAAAATGAAACTTGCAAGAAATGATATTCCAGTGACAAAGAGCACATCTAGCAGCCAGATCTTGGTTTCTAATACCATTTTCCAACAAAAGGAACCAGGGCTTCTTGGAGAAATGGCTGGTTCTAGGGCTGGGGCAGGAAATATATAACGTGAGCTGGAAGCATCTTCTCGCGCCAGAAAGCAAAGAAGTACTCACAACAATGACACACACACACACATCAGTGGGGCTATGTCAAAAGGGCATAAGAGTCAACCGAAAAAGCTCCCAATGGCCAAAGCTGGAAGAATTTGAGCAATAAAATAAAGTAGTATTAGATTATAACCCCATAGTATAAAACAAATATCCATGAGTCCACACTGATATAAATAAATGATTAAATAAGTTAATACATGGGAGGGGGGAAGACAAACCTCTCATGTAGAATTTCAAATAAATTATGTAGACTCCACCCTGAAGAGGGGGAGTATAACTTTCCACTCCCTAAGTGTGGGTGATGTATAAGGAATTTTGTCTAATTCAACTTAGGAAAGGGGAGAGTAACTCTACAGTGGAGAACCTGGACAAACACTACCTCAGTCTGGTGACCAAGGTCAACATCAACAATATTAAATTACGTTGCTAGTAAGGGTACGTACCCTAAATAAGATGGGAGAAGGGAGAAAGCTAGGAAGACTGGGATGGTGAAAGGAGGCTTGATGAATCACAAGGTCTCAAGTTTGGAAGAGCCCTCAGAAATCATGTATTCATTCATTCAGCAAATAATTATTGAGCATTTACTATATGCCAGACACAATGCTAGACAACAGGGATTATAGTGAATCTTCTACTCTAGACTTATAGCCTTCCTCTGATAAACCTTATTTAGTAAATTGTTATACAGTTTCTATTTACACATCTTTAGTAAGAGGACTCCCTATCTCACTTTGCAAGTTATTCCATTTTTGGATATTTGTTCTTCAATTAATATCCAACAAATACTCTAAACAAGAAATATATGGCTCAACAAAATGCCCTAGTTGGTGAAAAAAAATGATTTAGAAATATGTATAAGGTCATCTATTTTGTCAAACACACACATACACATTGTTTTATATGCACATACACATTTATGATGAAAAAAAGTTGTTCTTGAAGGATACATACCGAAAATTAATGTTGGCTAATTTGAGGTGATGGGATTTGTGTGGTTTTTGGAGGGGGCGGTTATGTGTACTTTAAAGTTTGTTTTCTATACTGAATAGGTATTGCTTTTTTAATAAGAGAAAAATAGTAATTTAAAAATTAAAAATATAGCAACAGAATAGTAGATGAGATTAATAATATGTAGCAGGAAGGAGAGGGTAGAATATATGTGTCTGAGGAATTTGGAAAGTTTAAGGTTCAACAAAAAATGTGAGGAAAAAATGGCTGTTCGTTAACAGATTAAACTGTGATCTGATTGAAAGAACATATTAGGGGAGAAAGGATGTCTCATGGACACTAGAGAAAGAGAAAGAATTTGTGAGCATGTCTTCAGGCCCTTTCAAGGGAAAGGACACGCTAACCAACTGGTTTAGGTAGCCTTCCACCTGACAGACACAGTTCTAGCAGTGGGGATGGGAGCTGGTTTGATCGCAAAGCAGTAAGGAGTCAAGAAAAGGTTGTAAGCTTTGAGGTTAGACAAATCAAATTCCATTTCCAGACACTAACCAAGTAACCCCCAAGGATATGAGGTAAAAGGAAGACAAAATTTTATTTAATTGAGGCAATAAACTGGTGGTTGGAAACTATAAACCATCCATTTCTACCCAACTCAGGTCAGGAATCTACGGTGTGTCTCTTCTATTGAAGATTGTGATTGAGTCTGAATTCTTGAGGATATTTAGGGTCTTCCATAATCTGGTCCCAAACTGCTTTTCCTTATCGTCAATCCTCCCTAGAGCTCATCCTTGTACTCTCCTTCCCCCAAACAACATCTCATGTACGTGATACTCACTCTAGTAACTATATTGTGGTAGAAATTAAGAAGCCAGTTTCAACAAAACATACAGAAAAACCATTACATCAAATTTCAGAAAGGCAGTACCTGTAGCAGTTAAGAACGTGGATTTGAATTCCAGTTCTGTCATTTCCCAGCTACACAACCTTTAGCAATTAACTTAATATCTCTAAACCTGTTTCCTCATCTATAAATGGGAATAATAATAATAAAACCATCTTAATTCATTCAACAAATATTTACTGAGTGCTTGTTATATGCCAGGTACTATTCCAAGTGCTAGGATATAGCAGCGAGCAAAACAAACAAAAACTGCTGTGTCCATGGAATTTAAATGGAGCTTACATTCTTGTAGAGTTATCAATATACAGATATTTCAAGCCATGAGACTGGCTGGAATGCCTAATGGAGTAGATGTGAACAGAGAAAAAAGAGATCCAGAGACTGAGGCTCTAGCACTCTAATTTGTACTCTAATATTTTGGATTTGCTATATTTATGATAAATAAGACAAGGAGTTAACCCTCATTATATGAGAACTCATGGAAATTCAAATAAAAAAATTAAATACCAATAGAATAACTGTGCAAAGGACATGAATAGGCAATTGACAAAAGAATGATTAGTAAAACCAGTCTTCACTTACTTATCAAATAGACAAAGACTTAAAAAATAATCAGACTGCCAGTTTTTTTTTGAGATGGGCACTCTCATACCTCATTGGAAGGATTGTGTTTATACACAGTCTGTCAGGGGAGCAATTTGGCCACTTGAATCAACAGCCTCTTAAATCATCATATCCTTAATCCAATAATCCTACTTTAAAAAAATCTATCCTAAAGAAATTGTCAGATATGTAAGTACAAGGATGGTCATCATAGAGCTATCCATGGTAGCAAAACTTCTGAAATAACCTAAATGGTCCAACGAAGAATGAATGGTCAAAAAAAATCAAATGTCCATTTTAGACCGCTATGTAGAAAGAAAGAAAAATGACTTCAAATAATATTTAAAAGTAAAAAAAAAGTTCACAATATAAAGTGGAGGGAAACATGATATAAAATTGTATTTGTTGTATAGCCTGATTTACATAAGATACACATACACATATATATGTATATATGAAGAAAAGAAATTGAAAGGATAAGTATTAAAGTAATAATAATGGGGGCGCATGGGTGGCTCAGTTGTTGGGCGTCTGCCTTCGGCCGGGGTCGTGATCCCAGCGTCCTGGGATTGGGCCCCACATCGGGCCCCCGCGTCGGGCTCTCTGCTCCGCAGGAAGCCTGCTTCTCCCTCTCCCACTCCCCCTGCTTGTGTTCCCTCTCTCGCTGTGTCTCTCTCTGTCAAAAAAATAAATAAAATCTTTAAAAATAATAATAATAATAAAATAAAGTAATAATAATGGTTATCACCAGATCATGCTCATGAAATAATAAGCATTTTGATTTATACCTTTATGTGTTTCCAAATTTTCTAGAATAATAGGCATTTTGATTTATACCTTTATGTGTTTCCAAATTTTCTAGAATAAATGTATATTACTTCTCTAATCAGAAGCCAAAAGGGATGGTTTTATTTTTATTTATTTATTTATTTTAAAGATTTTTATTTATTTATTGAGAGAGAGAGTGATAGAGAGCATGAGAGGGGGAGAGTCAGAGGGAGAAGCAGACTCCCCGCTGAGCAAGGGGCCCGATGCAGGACTCGATCCCGGGACTCCAGGATCATGACCTGAGCCGAAGGCAGTCGCTTAAACAACTGAGCCACCCAGGCGCCCCGGGATGGTTTTATTTTTAAGAATGCTACTGGAATTCAAATCCATGTTCCTAACCAGGACAGCTCCCCCTCTTTTACAATGAAAGTGAGGAATGCATTTTGTTGAGCTATGTATTTGTTTAGAATATTTGTTGGATATTAATTGAAGAACAAATATCCAAAAATGGAATAACCTGCAAAGTGAGATAGGGAGTCCTCTTTAAAATAGAAGCTGGATAACAATTTACTAAATACAGTTTATCATAGGAAGGATGCATGTCTAAAGTAGAGGATTCACTATGATCCCCATTGTCTAGCGTATGTCTGGCATATAGTAGGTGCTCAATAAATATCTGTTGAATGAATGAATGAATGAATACATGATTTCTGAGGGCTCTTCCAAACTGCGAGACCTTATGATTCATCAAGTCTCCCCTTACCATCCCAGTCCTCCTAGTTTTCTCCCCTCTCTTGACTGTGGGAGCAATTATATTACAAACCACTAATTTAAGAGATCTTAATTAGATATTGTATTGTATTGTATTTTGTCTTTTATTAATTGTTCCCCAATTACGTTAGGAGTTTAAACTCTGCCTTCCCAATCAATTCCATTCAATTAACCTTTATTGGGCACTTCATATTAGGTACAAGAACCTGCCTACAAAACCTTATATTCTCAGAAGAACAGAAACATTAGAGAGCGCGCTAAGGGCTCTAATGGAGAGGTATGCATAAAATACTATCGTCAGACTGGGGAACGGTTAATTCTGAAAAAAAGAAAAAAAAAAAGAAAGAAAGAAAGAAAGAAAAAGAAGAAAAAGATAGTCCAGGAAAGCTACAGGTAGGAGGTAATATTTCAGCTAAGTCCTGATAGATAACAGGAGTTTGTCAGACTCTTAGACAAGGGAATAATACAAATAGATTCGGGGGAAGCTGATGCCATAGCAAAGAGTCAGAGATACAAGAGTGAGCCTTCCTCACTTTGTGCTTTAACATCTCTCCCCTATGCACGAATGAAAACTGCAGTTATCTGGTATATAATCAGTACAGCAATGGGAGCCCTGAAGAGAAAGGGAAAGAAGAGTAGGAAACCAGAAGGGGCTAAATCCAACAGGCTGCCGGAAAGCGTTGTCTATCTATCTCGCAGCTTGGCCCTGGTGAGCTAGATCGGGAGGTGAGGGACAGAACCAGGTCAGAGCCACCAGGACGGAGCCTTACCTGCCGCCCCTCCCCCACGCAGAGCCCACGTCGCAGCCAACTTGAAATTTGCTGGTCTTCCTCTAGCTGCTGGCGCTGTAGGTCCGCCTCTCAGAGCTCCCCATTGGTGAGTTCTCCCGGCCAATCTAGGAGAAGAGGAGGAGGGAGATCCGCCCACTTGAAGCCGAGGAGAAGTAGGGAGGGGGAGAGTCAGCCGGAACCCAGGCTCGGGAAGCCCCGCGCGGCGCGAAGGGAGATGGGGTTGCAAAATCAAGCAGGGGTCGGTTATTTCCGACCTCATCTCAGATGGGAGAGCTCCTGGCTAGCGAGAGTCCACAGAGGGAACCTGACACTTAGATCTCACCGAGGGACTCTGTTGAGGAAGCTCCCACAGATAAATGAAAGTGTTGTTCGTTAGGGATGAGTCTTTTTGGGACTTGGGCTTCCCAGCCTGGCCCCTCCATTACTCCAACCTTCCCTCTAGTCCTACACTGCTTCCCTCCAGCACCATAAATGAATACTTCTTTTCTATTTTCTTACCCCCCCCCCCCCCCGCCCCTCAAGGGTTGCTGCCATGTCTGTGAGATGGGAGGAAAGTTTGGGGAAGGAAGGATTAAGAATCAGAGAACCAGAGTTGGGGAGGCAGGACAGAAGCCCAGTGTTTCCCGCATTTTCTATTGCCTTCCAGCTCCTTCTAGCCCTTGGTGAAGGAGAGCACGGTGGCGAGGGTGAGTGGAGGGCAGTGGTGGAGAGGAATCCTACTTTCATACACACACACCCCACAAAAACAACCCCAGAAATAGAGGGAAAGAATAATCCAGAGTAGTGATAAAAGCTAGGAGTTAGTCAAGAAGACTGTCCCACGTGTCAGAGAAAATGGCCCTGGGAGTGAAGCCTCTGGACTTGGAAGGCTGCAGGTGTAGTGGCAAGACCTGCAGTCTTTGGAATAGGACAGAGACAGAGCTGTGAGGCTTTGGAGAACTTGCTTAACTTTATTAAGTCTCAGTTTCTTCATCTATAACAAGGAGATTCCTACCTTACAGCGTTGTTCTGAGGATTTGATATAATGTATGTGAAGTACTTAGCATATAGTTAGTATCCAACAAATGGTAGCTAGTAAAAATGGGTAGCTTCCCTGCAATATTTCTCCCCCTCCTTCTCCAGAAACATTATTTTTGGTATCTTGTGTCTGGTGGCTTCCAGTCTGAATTATCTCAGGTGAGTTTTCCAAATCCTTGGGATTTTTTTCCCCTCATCTTCCACTTCCCCTCATGCCTTCCAGCTGGACACAAACTCCTTCCTAAAATATGCAGATGGAAGCTATGGTAACCATGGAGACCGGGCAGGTGGCAAGGAGAGGCAGAGACAGGCAGCAGAGAGACCCATTATGATTGCGACAGATAGGCAGAGAGAATACTTAGGGAGCGATTGGACAGAGACCTTCAAGCAACATGGAAAAATAATGAGTCTAAGCAAGACTGAGTGTAAAGAGATGCAATGAGAAAGGGATGTGTTACAAGGTTCGCTCTTCTCTCTGCCTCTTTTCTCTCTCCCTCTCCCCCTCCAAGAATATGGGGAAGAAGGCATCTGGGAATGCCACCTGGTGTAGCTAAAAATGACCCAGTATATCCATTCTCCTCATACTTATCTGAGGTTTGTACAAGGGATCTGAGGTTCAAGTTTATCTGTGCTGTGTGTTCCGTTTGGGCGGAGATGGAGTGAGGATGTACCGCTGCGTCTGGCTCCAGCTCTCCCTGACATGTAAACTGCAAGGAGGCAGCCAGATCTCTTGCTCTCTCTGCGCAGTATGGACTCCGGCTGTGGATCCCAATCGCCTCTCTCCACCCCTCTGCACAGTGTGCCATGTGCTGTGTGTGGCAGGTCAGATCTGGCGCACAGACGCGCATAAACACATCTAGCGCGGAGAATGGGGCTCTGCTCAACGAAGAATTGGGATGGCCCCAGTCTGGGTCGCAGAGGAGTCTCCTAAGAAACATTTAGGTTTGTTGGGGCTGAGGGGAGGTCGGCTAAGCGAGAGAAGTCAGGATTGGAACCTCTAGGTTTTGAGGCTTTATGTGTGCATGGGTGGGGGAACGGTTTGGTGCCCGACGCCCCCACCCGCAGAGACTAGGCTATAAATAGCAAGGCAGAGCTCCGCCCCCCCCCCCCCAAGCTTCTCTCCTCCCGAGCCGGCGCCTTGCCCGGGGCGCACCGGGAGGAGGGACCAGGATCCGGTGCCCGGGCGCAGATACTGACACCAAGGGAATCCGGGTGCCCCTCCCCACGCCATGTGGGCCCCCGGGAGCCCAGCTCCGCCACCTAGGCTGCCCCATGGCCCTGGCCTCAGTCCTGGCCCGGCGGAGATCCTGCGGACATTCAGGTATCTATTTGGGCGCACCGCCTGGGAGGGAAAGAGCAAGGAGTGATGGGGAACATAGCAGGGGCAAAAGAAACCCCCAATTCTCCCCCCACCCGTTTTAGGTCCCAAATGCAAGCTGCTTCCCTCCCCCCACTCAATATTTGGGGCTGTGGCAACCTAAAAGAGGTTAGGAATGGGACTTGTGTGTGAATGTATGGGTGCATGTGTGTGGGTGGGTGGCGTTCAGCATCCTAGAAAGGGGTATTCCAAGTGCGATTAAGAAAAGGGGGATGCTGGAAAGGTCTGAGAAGCCGTGGGGTGAGGGTGGGGGTGCGGTATCCCTGCGCGTGCACGTACGCATTTGCACGCGCGCTCGTCCTTCAATGCGGGTGCACCCTTCCCACCTCCTCAGGCATGCGCTGGGGGGAGGGGGCGGCTCAAAGGCATGAGTTAGAGGAAGGACTGTGTGCCGTGCCGTGCCGTGCCGTGGAGATCTCCCCACGCCGTCTCCTTCCACCGGTGCCTCAGTTTCCCTGCCTGAATCCGTCAATAAGATCTCTCTCTTTCTCGCAGGGATTGGCTTCGCCACTGAGCCCTCAGGCCTCCGCCAGCCACCACCCCCACGTCCCTAGACATCCTCGGCGGGCCCCAGTCCCGGCTCCATTGGTGCTCTCGCCCCTGCCGCAGCTATGCTGCACACCGAGGGCCACGCTCTTCTTCGGGCCGTGGGTCAGGGTAAGCTACGCTTGGCCCGTTTGCTTCTGGAGGGAGGCGCCTACGTGAATGAGGGTGATGCCCAGGGGGAGACTGCGCTAATGGCGGCTTGTCGGGCCCGTTACGACGACCCCCAGAACAAGGCGCGCATGGTACGCTACCTCCTGGAGCAAGGCGCGGACCCCAACATCGCAGACCGCCTGGGGCGCACCGCGCTGATGCACGCCTGCGCCGGGGGTGGGGGCGCCGCCGTGGCCTCGCTGCTACTTGCCCACGGTGCAGACCCCTCAGTGCGAGATCACGCGGGCGCCTCGGCGCTTGTCCACGCCCTGGACCGTGGGGACCGCGAGACCCTTGCCACGCTGCTAGACGCCTGTAAGGCCAAGGGCACGGAGGTCATCATCATCACCACCGACACCTCGCCCTCGGGAACCAAGAAGACTCGGCAGTATCTCAATTCCCCACCGTCCCCGGGGGTGGAGGACCCTGCTCCCGCTCCTCCCAGCCCTGGGGTCTGCACGTCGCCTTCCGAAATCCAACTGCAGGCTGCAGGAGGAGGAGGAGAACGGGGATTGCTATCCCCTCGCGCTCAGGAAGAAGAGGAGAAGCGGGACGTATTCGAATTCCCTCTTCCTAAGCCCCCTGATGACCCCTCCCCTTCTGAACCGCTCCCCAAACCACCTCGTCACCCTCCAAAACCACTCAAAAGGCTCAACTCCGAGCCCTGGGGCCTAGTGGCTCCTCCTCAACCGGTCCCACCCGCGGAAGGGAGGCCGGGGATCGAGCGCCTGACCGCGGAATTCAACGGCCTGACTCTGACCGGTCGACCCCGTCTTTCCAGACGTCACAGCACGGAAGGTCCGGAGGATCCGCCCCCGTGGGCGGAGAAAGTGACGGGTGGGGGTCCTCTCTCTCGCCGAAACACTGCGCCAGAAGCTCAGGAGTCTGGTCCCCCTTCAGGGCTGAGGCAGAAACTGAGCCGCATGGAGTCGGTGGAGCTCGATACCCCCGGAAATATTTGCCCCGACTCGCCGGAGTGCAGCCGCTTGTCCCTGGAGCGCCGGCGGTACAGCGCCTCCCCGCTGACCCTCCCTCCAGCCGGCTCGGCTCCCTCCCCGCGCCAGTCCCAGGAGAGTCTGCCAGGGGCTGTATCTCCGCTGAGCGGACGGAGGCGGAGTCCCGGGCTGCTGGAGCGGAGGGGCTCGGGGACGTTGCTCCTGGACCACATCGCGCAAACGCGGCCGGGTTTCCTGCCTCCACTCAACGTCAGCCCCCACCCTCCCATCCCCGACATTCGCCCCCAACCCGGAGGTCGGGCGCCTTCGCTGCCCGCCCCTCCCCAGGCGGGGGCGCCAGGCTCTCCCAGGACCAAGCGCAAGTTGGTGAGGCGCCACTCCATGCAGACTGAGCAGATCCGCCTGCTAGGGGGCTTCCAGAGTCTAGGCGGGCCAGGGGAGCCAGGGCGCTGAGAGGAGTGAGAGGAACCAAGGAGGGTGGGGATCAGGACCTTGATGGGACAGGTGGGAGAACCAGCTCACACACATACCACGGACATCGAGGTCTTTTGCCTGTGCTCCTGGGCACGGTGCACGCACACATGGGTAAAAAAGTGTCCACAAGCACAGCACTCTTATTCACAGGGAAGGGTAAGTACTCTCTCGACTGGGCATATAGACACATACATTCATGTCCTGGTCACTTCACATGCATATGGGGATACTTGTGTACCCATCCATAGGAATGGCACACACAGGGCCACTTGTGCTAGGGCCCCAAGTGGGTCCCAAAGTCACTTGCATTTGTTCAGAAGCCGTAGGGAACCCCTACTTATGGATAGTCTCCAATCTTTTTGCCCTTTTGCAGAAGCAATCCCCTGCTTTCCATGTATGCCCTGCAACACAGCCCGTTCACGACTTTGCACACTCTGCCCTCTTCCTGGATATCCCAACCTGTGTAGGTCTTGCTTCTCTCTCCAGGCCTGGCTCCTTGTTCACACCCTGCTTCCAGCCCTAACCACTTTTCAGGATATCTTCTTCACCCTCCTTGGGGTTTTCCTGCAGCAACCCTCAGCTTCAGTTCTGCTGCTGCCCTTCCTGCTCTCAGCTTTACTTCTCAACTTCCTGCTTTTTATTCCCACCTTGTTCCCCTAACCAATACAGGAGGTTGTCTCATTTTCCCAGGGAGTGGGTCATGGGCTCTATGCTGCTCTTCTGTCTGTCTGGGCTTATGAACACCCCCACAGGTAGAAGTGGGGAGTAACCCTAAATCACTCCTCTCTCCACTTGACATATCAAATAAATGTGTTCAGAAGTCTCTGTTTTGTCACTTCTGCCTGAGGGTGTGGGGTATGGGGAATGAGGAATGGGGAGGGAGGATGATGCTTACTATAGCTCTAATGATCTAGGGGATACTTAGAGGTTCCAGCCACCTTCTTTGCAGGAGACCAACTGACCAGCTGTGGTTGCAGAAGAAAAGACAAGTGTCCTGTGTCCTGAAGGTTTTAAGGCATTTGACAGGCTTTCATTCGCTCAGGCTCCCCTATGTCCATCCTCAAATTCTTTAACTTAAGATTTCTAAAAAAGTACCTCCTACAAAAATTACCTCCGTCCACTATCAACAAATATCTCAGTAGATTGACTGCCCCTCTTTCAAACTTCTTATTTTGTGACCATTCCCAGTTATTCCTTGGGGTTCTAATTTTCATCTCACCAGGTGCATTTCATCCATTTTTTTCTACTTCTTTTTTAAAAAGTTTTTACTTATGTAGTCTCTACACACAAAGTGGGGCTCGAACTCACAACCCCGAGATCACGAGTAACATGCTTTTCTGACTGAGCCAGCCAGCTGCCCCCATTTTTTTCTACTTCTGACTTTTATTTCCCCGTCCTGAGCCACGGCACAGTGGGGAAAGAGAGAGAGAGAGAGAAAAGTAGTATAACCTCACCTAGGTAAGAATGGCATGATGGTCAACTGACAAAGGATGTGTAGTGTGTATCTGTGTGCATAGGTGTGTGTAAGAGTAATCCGAGGAACCCAGCCTGACAGGTTATGAACAGGATAACTGTCTTAATCTGCCCCCTAGACTTCTCAGTTTTCTGGTTTCTGCATATATTCTAATTCTTTCTCACTCTAACGGGAGGTAAGGGAGCAGCCCATTCCACTCTTTCTCACGGTTTCCCCCAACTTAGAATAGGTAAAATCAGAAAATTACCTAACGATGCATGGTATAACGAAAAGATCAAAATATTGGGAATCAGAAGGCCTATGTCTGAACCCCTCTTTGCCATCTCCTAGCTTGAATTTTGGGCATTTTATCCAGCCTCTCTGAGTGTCCATTTCCTTATCTGTAAAATAATAAAATCTAGTTAGTCATTGTGATTATTAAATAAGACAATGCTCTAAAGTACATTGCGCAGTGTTTGACATATAGTAAGTATATGCTCATGAAATGTATTCTTTCCTTGTTTTAGCTCCATCGCCCATTGCATGTGATCTTGGACAAGTCACATAATTTATGTTTCCTCATCTACAACTATAAAATGAAGTCGTCGGACAAATGATCCCTAAGAATCCTCTTACAACTGTCCACAATTCTCCTCAGCCTGGCATCCAGGCCTTCCCCCCGCCGTTCCTCCCGCTCCCCCCTCCACACACACACAAGCTTCGTCCCAGGAGTCTGGCTTGCTTTCCAGTACTCCCTACAGGACTCCCGAAGAAGCGCCCAAGCTAAGCTTCTCCCTTATAAAGAATATCGCTTTTTCTCTTTGCAATTGGTTGTCCAGAACCTCCGCCCTCCTCGGTATTTTGCCTATGGCGGAGCTGGAGCCCTCCAGCTCCCGCCCAGTCTCTGGTGATTGGCATAGGACCTGGCTCGTCCCCGCCCCCGCTTGACTGACGGCTGCGCTCCGGCACCGCCTCAGTCCCTGGGCGCTCGCTGGCGGGGGTGGCTGGGACCGTTAGCTCGCCAGGCTGGCAGGCTCCGGGCCGCTACTCCACTGGCGGCGGGGATGGAGACGATGCGAGCACAGCGGCTGCAGCCTGGAGTGGGCACCACCGGGAGGGGTACGCTGCGAGCGCTTCGGCCCGGGGTGACTGGGGCCGCGGCTACCACCGCCACACCCCCAGCAGGCCCCCCGCCCGCCCCGCCGCCCCCCGCCCCGCCCCCGCCGCCCCTGCTCCTGTCGGGGGCCCCTGGGCTGCCGCTGCCCCCGGGCGCCGCCGGCAGCCCCGCGGTGCTGCGGGAGGCCGTGGAGGCCGTGGTGAGGAGCTTCGCCAAGCACACGCAGGGCTATGGCCGAGGTGAGTCTGCGGGTCTGGCCTCCTGCGGGACACTGTCTGTAAAGGAGCCTTGCTCCCATAGTCCTCTGGATCGCTTTTCCTGGCGCAGAGCCCTCACATGCATTTCCTTTCGGGGAGTTTCCTTCTGGGCTACACACACACACACATGCACACACAGGCACGCACATAGGCGCGCGCACACACACAGAGGCACACGCTCATACATACGTCTCACCCCTTCCCCTTTATTGAGTTACTACTATATTCTCCAGGGACCCCTTTTTACAAATACAACCATTTTTTCTTCCCAGCCGTTTCTCCTTCAGAAATGGAATTCTTCCTATAGCTTAACATCCCTTTGCCTTTGAGGACCAGTCACCATTGTGTAGGATCCTACCTTTATGTCAGATCCAAGACATTTCTCATCCATACCCTCTCAATCTTTCTTCTGTGATCTCGGCAATTCCTGGGCTCCCCTATTAACTTACTCCACCTCCTTAGTCTTTTTTTTTTTTTTTTTTTAAGATTTTTATTTTTTTAAGTAATCTCTACCCCTAATGTGGGGCTCAAATTTACAACCCCGGGATCAAGAGTCGCATGCTCCACCAACTGAGCCAGTCAGGTACCCCTCCACCTCCTTAATCTTGACTTTTGAATTCTTTTCTTACTTATCCTCACTCTGAAATTTCAGTGCAACTTCAGATTTGCTGGGGAATTAGGTAGTGCCTTCACAAGTCACTTATAATTGTGTTTTTAAATCTGGAACCGTACCACTGAGTCCACACCACCTTCCTGTGACTTAGTACCTCACTTTGGTGTCTTTTTTAGTGTGGAGCCTCACAACTCTGGCCTCTCTGTCTGTCTGGCTCTGTTTTCCTGGCCCTTGCCCAGGAACTGAGGATAAATCCCAGGCCTTGGCTCTCTCAATGTTAAATTCTGTGGAAATGAGCCAGGCAGAAACCCTATTTCCATTAGAAATCTTTATCTTACAGATGCCTAATTTCTAGGGTTTCTGAGAAGGGGAATGTGAGGATTTTCTTTGTTGTTTTTGTTTAATCAGTGCAGAGTTTCCTGAGTTTGAGCTCCAGATTTATAGTGTAACAAGGAACACAATATAGTGAGGGGTGTGGGATACAGAATGTAAGTCTGGAATTTCTGAGACATAACTTCTTTCTGTTTGGTTAAGTCCTGCCTGAGCTGGAAGTGATTATATCTCTAACCTTCTAGTTGGACAATAATACAGAGAAAGGTTGTAGGGCTTTCTCTATGGACAGTAGTGACTTTTTTCCCTCCCTGTGAAAGTGTAGTGAAAAGAGCGTATGTGGGTTTTGGAGTCAGACAAGCGTGGATTAAATCCCAGATTAAATCTCTGTCACTTGCCAGCTATGTTTTTGGGGAAGTGACTTAACTTCACTACACTTCAGTTTCCTCGAGGGTTATGAGGGGGATTAAATGAGATATTACACCTGACACGTAATGGGTGACTTAAAAATGATGAGAATTACCTCAAATTTATTGGTTCATATTTCCTTGGAAAGAACATGTCTCATTTTCTCCCTTTCTTAGATCCAGACAGTATAAACCCAAATATTCCTATGAAAACAGATTTTTTAGCTCCATTTGTTAGATGTGCCCAATGATACGTTTACCATTAGTTTCCTTTTGTTCTTCAACATTTTGAACTCCTATCATGGGGCTGGCACTCTGCTAGGTGCTTGGAATGCAAATGCACGTGATTCTGAAATTCATCATGAGGGAATATAGTTGTTTGTCTAGTTTAATTCCTAGATTTAACAGGGCTTCGTGATGTAACTGTCATCAGCTATTGTCCTGCTGCTTCCAGTCTTTTTAAGTTGAGACCAAGGCAAGGTCTCCGGGCATAGGAGTAGTCACCCTCAATCTGAACCGTTCCTCTTAGAAACTTACAGGCGTTTATTAGAATTGTAGAGGAGTGTACCATTTTTCTTGTTTGTGTTACCTAGGGCTTGGCATCTAAACTGAGTGTCCTGTAAAAACTTTTTCATTTCCTTAGGATGAAGGAGCAAGGGGATTTTACTGACAAAGAGCAATCAGTCAGGCTTCAGACTCTGCAGCCATTCCTTCCTCCAACCTCCCAACCTCCCACCACACTCCTCATTATTCCTGAGTTTCTCATTTCCAGTCTGGGTGTCCAGCCAGTACTTTGGGAGAGTTTGGCAGGTAGTTCAGCTTCAGGCAAGCAGAATCTCTGCCGATTTGGCTCAGAAGTCCTTCACCACATGGAATCGCTTATTCTGCTTCGCTTAATAGGCAAAACTGCCATTGGCATGTACCCACGTACCCTTGTGACTGATGGCATGGTATTTGGGGGCTGGCTCTATTCCCGTGAATATAATTTACTTTGATCCTTGCCCAGACCTTTATCCCATCCAGCAATGCTTTACTGCATCATCTTCAGTTCACATCCTTCACCTTCTGACTGCTCCAAATTCACCTTTTCCACCTTTAGATTTACCTGTACCCGTGTAGGACCTCAGCATTTATTTAAAAAACACAAAAACAAAATTCTTCTGTTATTTCACCTATCTGTCCTAGATCTCCCCCACCCCCACCCCAACCCCCACCCAAGATACACACATAGCTCAGTAGGCTGTAGGATCTTAATCAGCTTGTAGTACATAGGGTTTGGAATCAGAGAACCTCACCCTGTCAAACAATGGCTGTTTGATCTTGGATAAATTGCTTAATCTCTCTAGGCCTCATCTGCTTCATTCATTTGACAAATATTTATTGATCACCAGATGCAGTGGTGAACAAGACAGATACTCAGTCCCTATCTTCATGGAGCTCACAGTCCACAAGTATGTGTGAGGATTAATGGTGCAATAAGGCAGGATAGGGCAATAGAAAGAGGTTCAGCTTTGAGGCAAACAAACATTAGTTCTAAATCCTGGTTCTGCCGCCATGGCCTGTTCCTTAACTTGTTTACTTTTTTTTTTAAAGATTTTATTGTTAAGTAATCTCTATGCGCAACATCGGGCTCAAACTCACAATCCCGAGATCAAGAGTTATATGCCCTGCTGACTGAGCCGGCCAGGTGCCCTAACTTGTTCACTTTTTGAAAAATGGCTATTATAATACTTACCTTCATAGTTTTGTGTGGATTGAATGAGATAATGAGTGTAAGCCATATAGCACATAGTTAGGACTCAATGAGTGGTTGCTATTATTATGCATTTGGGAACCCTTTGAAAACTGCAGATGATAGGTATTGGTAGCATTTCCATTTCCTTGGCTCCTTTTTAAACATTGCATGTAGTCCCCTTCTAATGTTTGATAGCTGGCAATCTCTAAAACTGGCATGACTGACTGAGTGACCTTGCCCTGTAACTTCTGCATTGCCCTCTTCAAACGTATAGTTTCGGAATTATTATTATTCTCCCTTTATATCACAGTATGATTACATGATTGGAAGTTCTGCCCAGCTACTCCCCTAGGTTGAACAAATGAATCTTGGGTGGTATTTTCTGTTTAGTTGTTTGGAATCACAGAGAGCTTCTTTGCCTACAAGTGACTGTGGAGTTAAATTGATAGTCTGAACATTTCCAATTTTGGGGATGTTGGATTAGACTCTGTATTGGTTTCCTGTAGCTGCTCTAACAAATTATTGGAAATTTGGGGGCTCACCACAACAGAAATTTATTCTTTCACAGTTCTGGAGGCCAGAAGTCCAAAATCAGTATCACTGGGGGGCCAAAATCAAGGGGTCAGCAGATCTGTGCTCCCTCCAGAAGCTCCAGGGGAGAATCTGCATTCTTGCCTCTTCCATTTTCTGGGGGCTGCCAGCATTCCTTGGCTTGTGACTGCATCACTCTGATCTCTGCCTCCATGTTCACACTCTCCTCTCCTCTTCTGCACTTCATAATTCTCCTTCCCTAAGGACCCTGTGATTGCACTTAGGGCCCTGCCCAGATAATCCAGGATAATCACCCCACCTCAAGATCCTTAATCACATCTGCAAAGTTTTTGCCACCTAAGGTAACATTCACAGGTTTTAAGGATTAGGGCATGGACATCTTAGCAGGGGGCATTTTTCAGCCTTCCATAGTCCTCGCCTAAAGTCACTGTCGTCTTGTGGTCCCTCCCTTCCAATGAGTCTATGCACTGGGCCATTCAGGGGTACATTCTCCAAGTTGAAATAGGAAATGTCAGATGGAAAATTGTTAACCAGCTTCCCTGTCTTCATAATAGTGTGAATTAAGCTGGGCCAGACTATTCTCGCCATCTTGTGTGATCAGGGAGAACCTTCTCATTCACCTCTCAATTGCATTAGCTATTTATCCATGCTCCCTCATCACAAAATTGTATTTTTTATGACATAAATTTGTTACTGTAATTTCATGTGTTGTTTTTTAAAAAAGATTTATTTATTTATTTGAGAGAGGGAGAGCTTGTACATGTAGGGGGAGCGGGGCAGAAGGAGAGAGAATCTCAAGCAGACTCCCTGATGAGCGCAGAGCTCTATGCAGGGATGTGGGACTGGATCCCAGGACCCTGAGATCATGACCTGAGCGGAAATCAAGAGCTGGCTGCCTAATGGACTGAGCCACCCAGGTGCCCCTCATGTGTTGTGTTAATGATTTCACTGTATGGTAGATAGATAATCTGTACCTCTCATCCCACTTAAACATTCATATTTTATCTCCTAAGGACCAAAACTGGAATTTTCCTCTTTTGTTATTGTTCAACATCATGGTACAAGCACTTAAATATTCCTCACTATCTTGGTCTTTCTTGTCTCTTTTAGCCCAGCATCCTCCAGTTACTCCTAAAAAGCAATTGTGGCTGTTAGATGAGTATGTCGTGGTCATTGCTAACCCTCCCACCTCACAGTTCTCTAACCATCCTCATGTAAACCATTAGGTGCATGGTTCCTCACTGAAAATCTGATAAAACCTATGGGCACCCCCCCCCATAAACTCTACACACACACACACACACACACACAGACACGCGATTTCATTGTGGGTTTTAGGCAGCTTGTGAACTCCCATGAAGCTCAATCATGGATCTGATCTTGGACTCTGGGTTAAGATTCCCAAACTGGAAAGAACATTGGCATCAGGATGTCTACATTCAATCCCTAGCTCTGCCACAGCATGTGACCTCGAGCAGGTCATTTCTCCTTTTGTTGGACTAGATGATCTCCAAAATCCCTGTCAGCTCTAAAGATCAATGAGTCTGTGAGCAGTTTCAAATTTGGATCACAATTAATCGCTTTTCTCCTGAACATTCTGCTCAATTTCCCATTTCATCCATTTTTGAAACAAGACTCCCTATTTCCTTTGGCTTTGAGTAATCATTAAAAAATAGTCCTATGGGGTGCCTGGGTGGCTCAGATGGTTAAGCGTCTGCCTTCGGCTCAGGTCATGATCCCAGGGTTCTGGGATCGAGCCCCACATCGAGCCCCACATCGAGCCCCACATCGGGCTCCTGGCTCAGCGGGGAGCCTGCTTCTCTCTCTGCCTCTCCCCCTGCTCATGCTCTCTCTCTCTCTCTGTATCTCTGTGTCTCAAATGAATAAATAAAATCTTTAAAAAAAAAACAGTCCTGTACTGTGTGCCAAGAGGGATTTAACTGGATATAGACTGGACATATGCTTTTTAATAGGACCTTCCCGGTTACAATGGTTTCCTCCCCTTTCTCTTTATTTCAATATTCTCCCTGTTTGCATGTCAAGAAAGCTGTCACCCAGCTCATTGTGCTAAATTGTCTCAAAGAGGGCCTGGGGCTGAAAAGATCTCAGTGGAAAGAACAAAGATGGCTAAGCTTTCTGGGCAGCAGTGACCTTTGAAGGGCCCCTGCCAAAACTAAGGGTGGGAAGGCCAGAGTTTCCTTTTCATGCTGCCTTTTAATGGAAGAATGAACATTGTAAAAAGTCAGTTAGATCCAGGGTGTTAGGAAAGAGCATGTGCGGCTTTCATACCCTGGCTGGTACACAGAGTACTTGCTTCAGCTGCAGAGCAGGAGAGATAACAGTTGTTGCTGGCCACTAGATTTTGAATGCCTTGCTGACCAGCATTGTGTATTATTCATCTTTGCATCTCTAATGCTCAACATAGAGCTATGTACATATTACGGGCTCAAATTTCTGCTTAATGTGTGTGTGGCAGCCATGAAAATGTGCTATTCATATCGCCTGCTGCAGGGGCATAACTGACTGACAGCCTGAAGCTGCTGTCCCCTCTGTGTCCATCACCACATGTGCACTGAGGCCACATGTCCTGCAGGCTGCCCCCCCCCCCCGCGCCCCACCCCATCAGTGACGGGGCCCAGCAGGGGCACTAACTCACACACATCCTGGTGAGGTGTGGATTTCCTTTGGCTTGTGGACTTCCCACTGGCCTGGCCGAACCTTTCTTGGAACTTTCTTGGAACCTTTCTTGGAACTCTGCTGCTGACTGAGATTCTCGTATCCAGACCTCCTTCCTTCCTATGCCCCTTCTACAGGTGTCAGACCTTCAACATGGTCCGAAGCCTCTCCCTTCTCCCACTTCCTCCCTAATAAATCCCTTGCTTGTCTATCCTGTCTTGGTGTCTTCTCCTTGGCAGACCTAAACTAACACACTATAAAAGAATGAATGAGTCCTTGTAACCTTGTAACCAAGAGTAGAGAGTGGCCATGTTGCAGGATATTGGAGAATGCATGTGATCATGTATTATTATGAGGCTTTTGTTAAAGCCACTTGAAATGTTTGGAACCCTGTAGTCAAAGTGATCCTTTCCAAAGGAAAACTGATTTCATCCCAAACCCTTCAATGGCTTCCCGCTGCTCTTAAGATAAAGCCAGTACTCTGCTGTGGCCTGCAAGATCCACTTTGGTCTGGTCCCTACTAACTTTTGCAATCTCACTTGCATACACTTTCCCTCTCTCTTTTCTTTGAGCCACACTGGTCCCTTTATTTGCCATCTTCTCTGCTGCTACAGAGTATATGTTGTTCCTTATGTTCAGAGCTCTGTTCTCTCACCTTTTTCCTAGTGAATTCATACTCATATCTGTACTTAAATATCACTTTGTCAGTGTAGCTTTCTTTGGCCTTCTTAATGAGGTCAGATGCCCCCACGACATTTCCCATCATCTACCAAACTCCTTTATAGTGCTTATCACAGTTGCAGTTTTTCATTTGCTTGAGGTTCTCTGGTTAATCTCTCTCTCCCTCTTTAGACTGTAAACTGCATAAGGAAATGGAACAGGGTATGGTTTTGCTCACTATTGTAGCCTAGCATCCAGCACATAGTCTAGCACAGAGTCGGTACCCAATATATATTTGTGCAATGATTGAGCCCAAGTATTGGGGGAAGAGGCGACTATTCTGGAATACAGTGTTTTGAGCCTGGTTTTGAGTTTTGAGTTTGATTTTACCCTAATATGTTAGCCGGTTACTGTTTGACAGATGGTGGCAGAAGTCTAGAGACTCCTGGGTCAGAGACAAAGGACTTTATTACTCACAGTACAGCGGGTAGCATAAGCATCAGATTTGTTTGCATCAGTTCTCCTTGCCTCCCATGTCTGATGTGAACGGCTCAGGTGCATGCTTGCATCGGCCACGGGCTGCATTACAGAGGAGGAACGAACACTGAGCTTGGGGAACTTGCCATTTCTTAGCAAGCAGTAAGCAGGCTTGTTCTTTGTCCCCGAGGGAGACAGTACCTCATCCCTCAGGTTTCTTGCTGCAAACACAATCCCGAGAAATGGCCCAAGGAAAGAGCAGCCATCTCCTTCAAATCTTGGCATACCCAGCAAGATGGAAAGGCGCACAAGAGACCTGTGAAGGAGTGTCTCCCAATATACAGTTCCACCAAAAATTACTTTTACCTAGGAAAATCCTCAGAAGAGAAATTCATGCTCTCTCTCTCTCTCTCACACACACACACACACACACAGAGGAGTGTAGTGTATATATATACACATAGTGTATAATATTCCAGGATGGAAAAGGACTCTGGCTATGGGTTTGCTCACCAGAAGCATAGACTTGAGAACGGCTAAAAGGGACACATTTCCTTGAGTGGCAGTATTACACAAAGCTTAGGAACATTGACTCTGGAACCAAGACAGCCTGGCTCTGAATTCTTACTCTGCTACTTTCTAGCTGTTACATCCTTGGGCAAATTATTTAACTATGTGTCATTTCACTCATCTGTAAAATGGGGGCACGGAGGTGTTCAGTAGATGCACTTCTTATTGTGCTGGGGATTATTATTCTCGGCCACCTGACCAACTGTGGAATGATCTACTTGCACTTCATCAGGCAGGGATAATGGTCTGCTGACCTGGAAGCTCTGCCTCCAATATTTAAGTTATTCTGCTTTGATGTTTAGGACTAATCAAAATGTGAACCAGAGAGGCGGGGGAGGAGGCCAGGCATATACCGGTCTTGCTATGCAAATGCCTTAATCACAGTCTAGGTTTATTAATTTAAATGTTTTTAAGTGGTGATAAGGAGCTAAGGTGGGTTAGACTCTTGATGTAGGTTCGGGTCTCAGATACCGTCTTGAAGCACAGGACCACTCATTGCTGAACTTAACTGCTTCCCTTTCTGTAGTGAATGTGGTGGAAGCACTTCAGGAATTCTGGCAGATGAAGCAGTCCCGTGGGGCGGACTTGAAGAACGGAGCTCTGGTGGTTTATGAGATGGTTTCCTCCAACAGCCCTCCTTACGTCTGCTATGTCACTCTGCCTGGGGGAAGCTGCTTTGGGAGTTTCCAGGTAAGAGGTGCAAGGGGGCAGTAGTGAAGATAAATGCTTAACTGCTAGTAGTGGTTTTCTCCATCATTTTGGCCATTAAATCGCTGTCTGAAATCACATATTTGAGGACCTGAACCAATTCTGGGCACATCATTCTGGTAAGCATCTGAGGTTCATTTAACCGCAAAAGAACCTCAGTACCTTCTCTTTCAGCCTGCAAAAACCCACATCCATTTTGAATTGGAGTGGTTATGAATAGGCCCTTTCTCAGTATATCAGACTACCAGCACCTAGCCCATGTTCTAATCTGGCTGTCCAACTTCCTGCCATCTCTTTTTGAGAACACTGAATAGTAATTCCTTACCCACAGTACTTTTTCATAGGAAATTACTAAAAAAAGCAATCTTTGACTTCTTTAAGAGGTCAAAGGGGAGGGCCTAGGTATGGTGGAAATAGTACTCATCTAAGAGTTTAGAAGACCCAAATTCTTATTCCCCTCACTGCCAGCAGGGCAAGTCAGGTAAATTCTCTGGGCCTCAGTTTCCCCATCTATAACATGAAGGAGATAGGTTAGATTATTTCTAAAATCTTCCTAGTGCTAGCTTTCTATAATTATATGAAAGAACTGTGATATATGATGATGAACCATGGTTGCTATTATAGGGTAATAAGAAATTTGACTAGCAGTCTTTGTCAGCTTCCACCATGACGTACCGTGGCCAGGGTCGAAAAGTGCAGAGGGTGATGGTGCAGCCCATCATCCTCATCTCCAGATGCTTGCAAAATAGATCTCGGATTCAGGTGTGGCTTCATAAGCAAGCGAACATGCGGATAGAGGGCTGTATCATTGGTTTTGATGAGTACATGAACCTTGTATTAGATGATGCCAAAGAGATTCATTCTAAAACAAAGTCAAGAAAACAACTGGGTCAGATCACGTTAAAAGGAGATAATATTACCCTGCTCCAAAGTGTCTCCAAACTACAAATGATCAATGAAGTGAGAAATTCTAGAGAAGTCCACGTAGTTTGTTTTTTTAGATGTCCTTTGTTGGAAGGGTAGTTCTAAAACATTTGGTTATATTATTTTGATTACCTTTAAGTTATTACCAGAGGACAATAAATGCTGTTGGATTGTTTTTATTAAAAAAAAAAAAAAAAGAGTGCTCGCTTCGGCAGCACATGTATTACAATTGGAACGATACAGAGAAGATTAGCATGGCCCCTGCGCAAGGATAGCATGCAAATTTGTGAAGCATTCCATATTTTTGTTTTGTTTTGTTTTTTAAAGATTTCATTTATTTATTTGACAGAGAGAGACACAGCGAGAGAGGGAACACAAGCAGAGGGAGTGGGAGAGGGAGAAGCAGGCTTCCCGCTGAGCAGGGAGCCCGATGAGGGGCTTAATCCCAGGACCCTGGGATCATGACCTGAGCCGAAGGCAGATGCTTAACAACTGAGCCACCCAGGCGCCCCACATTCCATATTTTTGAATCGTTGAACACTACATCAAAAACTAATGATGTACTATATGCTGGCTAACTGAACATAATAAAAAAAAAAAAGAAAAGAAAAGTTTGACTAGTGTGAATACTGTCATCAAAGATGGATTTTTTTATGTCACCCATAGGAAGGTAGCCTTCTGAAATGTCAACTTAGAGTCTGAATAGGAATTTAGAGGAGATAATAGACATTTTGTTGTTTTTATGGTTTGTATAACCCTTAGACAAAGTTATAACCCCTGCTATGTGCTTCCATAGCCCCTTGAACTTCCCTTATCATACCACTTATCACAACATATCATGATTGATTATCTCACCTAGTGGATTATGCTTCATGGAGGCAGAGATAGTATCTGTCTTCTTTCTCACTCAGTTTTAAATCCTTACTACCAACTCAGCACCCAGCAAAGAGGAGGCACTTAATAAATCCGTGGCATGAATGAGGGCCATTGTTGTTCAGTTCCTGCTCAAACAGAGAAGTCCTAAGGAGACTTCATTTCAAATATGGTGACTAAGTTTTTTCCCCCTCGGAACCCCAGCCATTTCAGAAAAATAAATATATGCCCAGGATGACTAATGTTTATACTTTCTCTTCTAGAGAATAAGGTCTCTCCTCCTTTCTCTCATCTCATTTTATTGTTGAATGAAGATTTGATAATTTTATGGTGATGTCCAGAACTGAGCCATCATAGTAATTTGATTTGTTTTCCCCCCAAAGAATAGAATTATCTATCTTGGCTTCTTTTAGCTTATATCTTTTATATCCATTTTGGCAGGTGAAATTTCTCCTGGTGGTTTTTTTCATGGATGACTTTTCAGGAATAGCACTATACTGTAGAATGAGCAGCAGACTAGTGAGTAGAGACAGACTAGTGAGTAGAGACAGGCTAGTGAACAGAGAAATTGAAGAAGATGACTTAGGGTTAATGCACGAAGCACCATATTCTGACAGACCTGTCAGCTAAAGGAAATTGAGAGTTATTGATACTAAGGGTGGTTAATTAGCAAACATATCCTAGTCTACGTTTAAAAACTGTAACATTACTTTCTTCCTTTCCTCTAATCCTAATCATAAATGACAGAGGGCACAGAGGCCTTTGAGGCTGCCAGTGATGATGAATTATAAAGGAATGCTCTGGTGCCTGGGATTTAAGGTTGAGTGATTTACACTTCTGAAAATCAGAAGTCCAATATGATACCCACATTGGATACAATGCAAAAAACATGAATTAACTTTTAAATTTTTCTTGCTTTGTTCAGGTAAGCTTTCCTTCCCCTTGCCACCCCTCTCCTTATTTCCACTGGGGCAAAAAAAAGAGTATAAATTCCTTCTTCAGATCTTGGACTCTGTTCAGGGAGAGCTCATTGATTCATTGCATTACTGGGGGGGGGGGGGGGGGGAATGCCTGCTCAAAGCTAAAAGCGAAGTCCAAGAATCCCAGATGGGTGCTTCTGGTAGAGACTAGAGGTCTCCTCCGCAGAAGCAACCTAGACACAGATTTGTTCTACTCTTAGGTTATCTAGAGGGATGAAAACAAATCTTGCCTATGCACAGAACAGGAGAACAAGATACAAATTTCGAGCAGGCTGGGCAGAATCTGGCTTTTGAGTAATTAATTCTGTCGACAGTTTAAACGGGTATTTTTTATATCCAGTGATTATATGCTGACTTTAGCAGCCTTCCTCATTCTGCATTCAATTTGGTATGAGCTATCGCCGTCTCCAGTTCCTTAATGACTTCAGGATGTTGAATCAAAATTATGTTTCCAAATGCCTCAACCATTTTACAATACAAACTTTGGAGGGTTTGCTGAATGAACTGATTTGTCCAAAGACTGTCCAAGCGTCTTCTATCCCAGTGTTTCCTCTATCCTGTTTCTTCCTCTCTCTCAGACACACATATGTACATGTTTTCTCTCTCTCTGCCCTGCCTAGTTTTGCCCCACAAAAGCTGAGGCCCGACGGAGCGCTGCAAAGATTGCACTGATGAACTCTGTGTTTAATGAACATCCTTCCCGAAGAATCACTGATGAGTTCATTGAGAAGAGTGTCTCTGAGGCTCTGGCATCTTTCAATGTAAGTTACTGGGAGTTGAAAGAAAGGAGAGTGGGGGTTGGGAGAACTGGCTGGTTGGGAAGTCTTGTAAATCACTGGGAAACAGAGCAGGAATTCTTGTTTTCTTTCCTGTCTGTACCTCTTTCTATTTATTCTCTATCACTCTTGTGTATTACATGCTCCCATGTTTTTGTTGATATTTTGCTTCTTTCACTGTGTCTCTTTGGTATCTAGAAACCTTTAATTCAAGATTTATGGAGTTTTAGAGATATTCCAAAATTAAAACTGAGCTTGAATTCTACTTTTCCCAGTTTTGGTTTAAGAACTTACTCCCTTCTTCCTTCAATGTTTGTTTGTTTATAAAAAGCTCCACGCCAAGCATGGAGCCCAGTGTGGGCTTGAACTTATGACCCTGAGATCAAGACTTGAGCTGAGGTCCAGAGTCGGACACTTAACTGACTGAGCCATCCAGCCGCCCCTTTTCTTGTTGTTATTCTTTTTTTTATATATGACTGTTCTTATTGTCACTTGTCTCCCTACTTCATCTATTAGTAAAGAACACTTTATAATACAGTGTCTTATTTCCTTTTTCCCCTCCTAGGAATGGGGTGGATAATTTATTTACTCTCCTTAAAAAGAATGTCTGTTCTTTCAAATGATGATGATGATGATAACCATAGCTAATCCTGAGTATTCACTTTATGCCAGGGACGATTCCAGGGGATTTATATGTATTTTATCTCATTTGATCATCGCAGTAACGCTCTGAGGTGTAAGAACTATTTTTTGCCCCTATTTTACAGATGAGGAAACTAAAAACATGGAAGTGCAATTTTGCCTGAAGGGATGTAGCTAGGAAGTGATAGAGCCAAGACTGGAACCCAATTCAACTTAGAATTTTCTATCTCAGGAGCACATCTTAGAAATGAATGCTGCCTTCTTTCTTCCTTCCCACAAGTTCACTGATAGGTTGATAAAGTCAAATACTGTTTCTGTTCTCTTTGAATTTAAGATGTAATTACATATACTAAACCACTTTGGTTATCTGTTTGTGTATTTATCAGTGTTGAATACTTTAAATCATAAGTTGGCTTCCCTCTGTTACCCAGGACCCATCTGATTTTCTCCCATTTCTCTTTGCCCCAGTCAGCAGTATCTACAGGGAATAAAGACAATTTTTATATTAATCAAAGTCAATTAAAATGAAGAAAGTACATTTATCACTCTTAAGTCATCTAATGTATTATAAAATTAAACATTAGTTTGGATTATAGAAAGCAATGGTTCATCGTTTTGAAATTATGTTTCTACGAGCTGCGTGACTTTGAGCAAGTTACCTAATCTAAGTCTCAATTTCCTCATCTGTAACAATTATACCTATCACACAGGATTATTGGATAGAAGAGAATATATTCAAGCACTTAGCATATGTTACCTGTTTAGATGCCTTTGGATGCAAGTAATAGAAAAATCTCACTTCAAACTGACTTAAGGGAATAAATCAAGAAAGGAAACTTATTCTCTAACATGACAGGAAGTTCAGAAGTAAAGATTTCAGGGCTGGTTGATTCCATGGATCAAGAATGTCATCATTTACTGGCCCAAATTCTTTCCATCTCTCCATTCAGCCGTCCTCTAGATATTGGCTTTGTCCTTGGGCTGGCTCCCCTTAGGGTGTAAGACAGCTAGCTACAGAATTTCAGACATTAAATACAGATATAACTACAGTTAGAGACAGAAAGAAACCATTTTTCTTTCTCTCCTCTCTTTCTTCCTTCCTTGCTCTCTCTCCTTCTTTCTTTCTCTTTCCTTCATTTTCTTTTCTTTTTCTTTCTTTCTTTCTTTCTTTCTTTCTTTCTTTCTTTCTTTCTTTCTTTCTTTCTTTCTTTCTTTCTCTCTTCCTTTCTTTCTTTCTTTCTTTCTTTCTTTCTTTCTTTCTTTCTTTCTTTCTTTCTTTCTCTTTCTTTCCCTTCCTTCCTTTCTTTCTCTTTCTTCTTTTCTTTTCTTTCTTTCTTTAAGTAGGCTCCACACCCCACCCAATGTGGGGCTTGAACTTAGGACCCTGAGATCAAGAGTCACATGCTCTACCGACTGAGCCAGCCAGGTGCCCTGAGACTGTCTTTTAGTATCTCTTTAGTAGTAAGGAATATTTTTCCAGAAACCCTCCAGCAGACCTCCCTCCTACCTCCCAATGGCCAGAATTCTCACCTTAAAACCAATTACAAGCAAAAGGAATTAGGATTTACCCAGTGGAATTAGAGGATAAAATCACTCTTCCCTGGGGGAGGCACATGGAAGATGGGTAGGTACTGGAACAAGATTAAGATTCTATAGTAACAAAGAAGAAAATAGATGTTGGGTAGGTCACCAGCAATGTCTACTACAAAGCATTTAGGAAATATAAGTTAGTATTATTCCTGCCACTATTTCTATTTGATCAGTCCTTCAAAATTGAGAATTTAATAGATTTCTCATTAATTTCCCAATGGAATTGCCATACTCCAAATAACATCAATTTGGTTAGCTATGGGTAATGTTTACATTTCTGCCTTCAGCTTTTGTTCTTTAATAGTCCTGACTTGAGGGGCACCTGGGTGGCTCAGTCGTTAAGCGTCTGCCTTCGGGTCCTGGGATCAAGCCCCACATCAGGCTCCCTGCTCCTCGGGAAGCCTGCTTCTCCCTCTCCCAGTCCCCCTGCTTGTGTTCCCTCTCTCGCTGTGTCTCTCTCTGTCAAATAAATAAAAAATCTTTAAAAAAATAAATAGTCCTGACTTGGGAGACTGTATTGTATTATGTCTTTTGACCAATCACCCAGCCTCTGTAGCTCTGAATTTCTTCATTTGTAAAATGAATAGGTTGAATTAAATTAACTCTAATTTCTTTGCAATTATATTCTAATGTTCCTACCACTTACCAAGTATTCTGTGATTAAATGTTTATTGAATAAATGGAGTTCATTTATAGCCATGTTAGATGTAGAAGTGTAATAGGAGGTAGATATTCCCAACTTGTGGGTCATGCCACTTCAGTGTACTCTGAATAGGTTTCAGTTGTGCCATACTATTGATCCCCTCAGCTTTCAAGGGACTGAGCAAGGCCCAGGGCAGATGGACTCCTCTGCCAGCAGCCTATTCTGTATACCGCAGTTGGTTGTACAGAGATGATCATTACTTTCTATGTACTGTATCATGGAAAACTCTGGAGGTACTGAATAAGGTATCATATTGAATGATTGTAGGCAAAAATGAAAAGGTTACTTGTTTCAGGGCCCTAAATGCTAATAGTGAAGATTACTTTTGTCCTTCCTCCCTCTAGCTTTTCATTTTTAAATCCAAATTTTGTGATCTTTGCTTCGCCATCAAGATTAACTACATGTTGGCATGTTGTTTCTCATGAGCCACAAAACGGCATGGGTTGATCTTGTGTAGTTGTGACTTCTTGTCGATTCTAGCACAGTGAAAACAAATAATAAGCTAGCACTTATGATATACTTACTGAGTACATTGAATTATTTTAGGTGTAATACATATACAGTAAATACATATACATGAAAAGTGCCCCATAAGGAACTGAATTTGGATATAACTTGATTGGCTCCTGACCTCTACCCAGTCCCCTTTCTCAAAAAAAGCAGAATCTTAGGTGTAGGGCAGGAATGGTCATGTAGAACAAGCTACAAAGAGCAGGCAACTTCTCAGGAAGCAGGAGGAGAAAGTTGGGTACCTGTGTTCCCAGTAGTCTCCTGGCTTTATTTTCTTAGATCAGGTTGACAAAAAGGTCACCAATAAACCAGGAGATGCCCTTATTTTGGAAGTCCCAGCCAGCTCCAGGGTTTGGAATTATCTCTAATAACATTAAACCACCACCAAATAGCACTAAACCAGAGCCAGTAACAGAATGGATTTGGATTGTGTAACTGGATACCTAGTCTAATGTAATAATGTACCACATTTTATATAATTGGAGTTTTAGACCACACTTATCCTTTTTTAAATAATTTTTTTATTTTTTAAAAGATTTTATTTACTTGAGAGACAGCACAAATAAGGGAGAGGGGCAGAGGGAGAGGGAGAAGCAGACTCCCCGCTGAGCAGGGAGCCCGACGTGGGGCTCAATCCCAGGACCCCGGGACCATGACCTGAGCTGAAGGCAGACCCTTAACCAACTGAGCCATCCAGGCACTCCAATAATCTTTTAATTTAATTCTCAAAACAATCTTAGAAGATACATCTGTGATTATTCCCATTTTACAGATAAGGAAACAGAGGAACAAGAGAATTTAAATGACTTCACTAAGGCTTCAAGACTAGTAGGAGATCCAGTCCCTGCTCTTAACTTCTGTACTGTATTGCCTTTTTCACAGAACAATGTATCTTAGTTCTACCCTTACAGGGTCATGTCACCAATAAGACACACAAGGCAAATGTCCAAGAGGCCAAACTGCTATCCAGAATTTACCATGCTGATGGCTCCTACTGTTTCCCTTTAAAGTGCATTTGCCCAATTATCCTTTAGGCTAGTCCAATCCTGTATGCTGAGATCACTCTGTTTTTGGGGCTGAATCAGGGATCTTCTCTATGTCCAGTGTTCCCTCTTTGTAAGATAGGAAAAATCAGATTGACCTCTGTCACCTGAGTTAATATGTGTTATGACTTTGGAGTCCTCTAGGTCTGTGCTGACCAGCAGAATAGCCACCAGCCACATGTAGCTATTTAGCACCTGATATGTGGCTAGTATGAATTAAGATGTCCTGTAAGCATGAAAGAGACATCAGATTTTGAAACCTTAGTATAAGAAAAATAATGTAAAATATTTCATTAAAAATTTTTATGCTCGGAGTGCCTGGGTGGCTCAGTTGTTAAGCATCTGCCTTCAGCTCAGGTCATGATCCCAGGGTCCTGGGACCAAGCCCCGCATCGGGCTCCCTGCTCAGCGGGAAACCTGCTTCTCCCTCTCCCACTCCCCCTGCTTGTGTTCCCTCTCTCGCTCTGTCTCTCTCTGTCAAATAAATAAAATCTTTAAAAAAATGTTATGCTAATTATAGTTAAGATATTTTGAATATATTAGCTTAAATAAAACATGCTATTAAAATTAGTTTTACCTGTTTAATGTGGCAACTAGGAAATTTTATTTTTTTATTTTTTTTTAAGATTTATTTATTTAGAGAGAGAGCTCACAAGTGCTTGCTGGGGTGGGGGGGGCGGTAGGGGAGCAGAGGGAGAGGGAGAGAGAAACCCAAGCACACAAGCTCTGTGCTGAGCGCAGAGTCCTAGGCGGATGGATCCCACGACCCAAGCCTAAACTGAGAGTCAGACGTTCAACCAACTGCGCCACTTAGGCGCCCCTAGGAAATTTTAAATTAGGTTGGGGGCTCGCATTATATTTCTACTGGACAGTGCTGCTTGAGGTCATAATCCTGATTGAAAATCTATTTATCTTTTCCTTTCCTCTGTTACAGGGCAACAGGGAGGAAGCTGACAACCCAAATACAGGGATTGGTGCCTTCCGGTTCATGTTGGAATCCAATAAGGGCAAGTCAATGTTGGAGTTCCAGGTACTGTTCCACCTACTTCTCTGGCTCTAATAACTTGGATCAACCTGTGGATGGATGGATGGATAGATAGATAGATAGATAGATAGATAGATAGATAGATAGATAGATAGATAATCTCCTACTAATCCCTAAGTCACTGATACTCAGTTGGAAGGGAAGGGAGAGGTTAGAATATTTTTCAAAATATAAATATCTTCCTTTCCCAAAGGGCATATCAGAGATGGTAGGAGATGCTTCCATAAATGTATTTTGTAAGAGGTTCCCCATGTAATTCGGATGCAACCTCCTAATATAAAATCACTATCCTGACACTTCATATCTTCTTCCCCCAGGAACTAATGACAGTTTTTCAACTGCTGCACTGGAATGGCAGCCTTAAGGCCATGAGGGAAAGACAGTGCTCTCGGCAGGTAAGAGGTCCTATAGGTAGATGAGAGGAATCTGGCAGAAGGACTATTTTGAGGTGGCTATTCTGTTAGAAATAAGCAGGCCTATAGTTACCAGGTTGTGAATACTGAAAGCCTCACTTTAAGTGCCCTCTTCATTCCTATCATCTTTCTTATTTAGATCTTAGCTGTCATTCTTTTGCCTGCCTTGCTTCCCCCACCAGGAAGTTTCCCTTAAGACTCTCCTTAGAGGACTTAAGTGCTAACTTCAGTTAGGACTCCAAGGCTGAGTTCCTAGCCCTGCTGGGTCAATGTGGTATGAACCTTGACCTTGTCAGTGATCTTCATATTCCTTTCCCCTTCCAGGAAGTGTTGGCTCATTATTCACACCGGGCCCTGGATGATGATATTCGCCACCAAATGGCATTGGACTGGGTGAGCCGGGAGCAGAGTGTGCCAGGGGCACTGTCTAGAGAGCTGGCCTCTACTGAACGGGAGCTGGATGAAGCCCGGCTGGCAGGCAAGGAGCTGCGCTTCCACAAGGAGAAGAAAGATATTCTCCTGCTGGCTGCTGGGCAGTTGGGCAATATGCATTCTTCCAACTGCTAGGCATCCACTCACATACTCCCCGTCCTCTCTAGACCCTTTTTTATGTCTTTTCTAAGACTTAGTTGATTTCTGTACATACTTTCTCAATTTTATACTTTAAAATATAGATATATATGTATATGTATAAATTCTACACTCAGATTCCTATTTGCTGAGAGATCCCTTTTCTTCTGGTTTTTGGATGTCGTTTCATTTGAAACATCGCCACTCCGCTTTTAAGAGGCTGTCTTCGGAGCTTACACTCCCAGTAACTCTGTGTATTCATTTCAATAGCACAAGATGATGGACAAAGTGTTCTTTAATGTAACAGGGAGCTTGAATAAGGACTATGTGCTCCACCCTCACCCTCATTCCTGCTTTCTCTTGGATTCCAAACAGGGTATGAGTACGAAGCCTTTGGCTTTGGCTTATCTTGAGCTGAGCCTACTTGGTAGAGTTGTTCCTCCAGTAACTATATATTTCCTAGCCTAGACTCCCCCCCAACCCCCCGCCCCCCGCCCCCCGCCACTATCTTACTCCTTTTCTGCCTTCAAGTGGTACTTCATTTTGAGGCTTCCTTTATTATTTGGAATGAAGTGGAGATCTGGTATCTTATTGTTAAAATCATTCCTGAGAAACTTCCCAGAGAGAGGAGAGGAATTATAAACACAACCCATAGGTGTTTATCACCTAAATTGCCTCTGGGGCGTAGATACCATACTAAGCTGATAATCTAGCTTTCCGAGGTATTCTGTGCTCCGGAAGGGGTCAGGGTTGAAGCTGCTTATCTTCAAATACTCCCTTTTCTCTCCTCCTCCCCTGCTCACCCAGCTTAGTTGAGTCCAGTATTTAGACCATCCTGCCTGCAGAGATTGGTAGAAGGGAAAACATTTCCCTATTCCCTCTCCTCCCATCATTTTGCTCTTTGGAAACAGCTGTCCTGTTTGGCGAGGGCCATGTTCCGCTCTCTCCCTCAAAGTTGCTGCTGTTTGCTACCTTAGATGTTCATAGATTCAGTTGTTTTCTCTCTTTTCTTTCTTCTTCCTCCATGTTGATTATTAGAGCATGAGTCGATCAGGAATATGAGCCTGGCATTATGGCACTTCCTAATTGGAACCTTGGGAGACTGCAGGAGGGCAAAGAGGCTCAATGATTAACTATTTGTGTTTTTAAGACTTCCTCTCCCCACCCCACCCCGCCTCTCCTGGGTGAAACAGGAGAGAAATGATCTGGAGTACAGCAAAAGCATTCCTCTTTGGGAGAATTTTTTGTAGGTCTCTCGAGGATATATTTTCCCCCTTTGTTTTTGTAATCTCCTTTATACTGTATATAGTATATAGTGTTCAGGGTACTTTCTAAAATGTGCTTGGGAAGTTTCATGCTTCTGCAATTGGACTTTCCATTTAATGATGATACACTTTGTTTTTAGAAATAGGTTAGGAAATAGGCCACAATTTGCTCTTTTGGGCCAGATAGGGTTAAGATGAAAGTCAGCTTCTTTGCCTTTGAAATCATCTTGGTGACCAGTACAAATGGGATCAGCAGTAAGGAGTCTAGCAACTGTTTTAGTGCTTGAAAGGGACCTCCTTGAATTCTCCAAACCCCATCTTTGTATACCATGAAGCACATATAGGGTTGGAGTAGAGGCTCCTACATTAAATAATAGGTATGTCTGTTCAGCTTTTATTCATATTTATAATCCAGAAATCATAAACCTCATTTGTTCTATGCTCCTTTCTCTGGGAAGTATGAAGGGGTGTGAGTTATGGGAAGAATTTCTTCTTGCCCCTCCTGGATTGACTATTTTTCTCAAATAACAACCAGTAAGATCCCAAAGAACTTGAGAAAAATTGTTCCCTGATCTGTCCATTTTCATTGTTAAAGAATTTACTTATCTTTTTAGTACTTTCTATGTATTTTATATGTATAATTTTATATAATTAAAAATAGATTTTTGTCTAGTGAGCCACATTGACTCTTTCTTGAGACCTATGTATCAGAGGAGCTCTAAAATGACCCTTTCTTTTACAAGTACACTAAAAGAGAATTTTGATTAGTATTTTTTGGGTGGTAGAAATAAGATTGTACTGCTGGGGGAAGGCATTCTGCCTCCTCTTCTCCAGACATTTGAGGAGTCTGGATTTTGTCACTGATCCTTTCTTCTCAAGCTCTACCCATTTCCACTGGCAATCTCACCCACCATGGTGACTTCAACTCTATCATATGATAACACCATTCTCAAATCTATTTCTTTCACCCTTTTGAGCTTTTGCATCTGTATTTCCACATATTGGACATCACTACCTGAATTTATGGCACAAGCTCTTTGAATTCACATATTCAAAATAAAAGCTATTTCCATACATGCTCCTCTTTGACTCCCCAAATTTGTTATTAGGATTATTATCTATCCATCTATCTAAGCTAGAATCTTAGGTCCATCCTTGACTTTTCCCTAGCATGATCTAATCAGTCATTGTTGAGGTTACCTCCTATATAAACTTAAAAAAAAAGATTTATTTATTTGAAAGAGAGAGAATGCAAGCAAGGAGAGGGGCAAAGGGAGAGAGAATCCTCAAGCAGACTCCTTGCCAAGTGCAGAGCCTGACCCAGGGCTCGATCCCAGGACCCTGAGATCATGACCTGAGCCAGACACTTAACAGGCTGAACCACCCAGGCACCCCTCCTATATAAACTTCTTAATCTGTCTTGTCCATATACACTGCCTTAGTTCAGTTATTTATTATTTCTGGGCTGGAGCACTGCAACAGCTTCCTGACTAGACTGTCTTCATTCTTAACATCCTCCACACTATTGTCAGATTTCTTTCTAAAATACTTAGTACCGTATCACTATCTTGCTTAAACCATCACTTAGCTATCTTTGTCTTTAGCAGCATTCCCCAAAGTTTTATATGTGAACCCTTGGTATTACCTGAGAAAATTTTAGGTGGTAGATGGGCAAACATTTTTAATTTTTAAAAAAATTTTTAAAGATTTTATTTATTTGAGAAAGATAGAGAGAGCATTAGCAGGGGAAAGAGCAGAGGGAGAGGGAGAAGCAGACTCCCTGCACTGATGCAGGACTCGATCCCAGGACCCTGGGATCAGGACCTGGGCCAAAGGCAGATGCTTAACTGACTGAGCCACCCAGACACTCACATTTTTCATTTTTACTTATAGTCTAATCTGAAACTGTCATAGAAGAAAATACAGATTTTACATTTATGCCAGTGATATTTAAATTCAGTATAAATTTGTTTAATTAACAAGTCAGTCTACTTAAGGAAAAATACTAATCAAGGAACATCATGGGGGCTATCTGTGATTGTGAAAAATCATGAATACCCAAATACTTGAAGTCGAGAAATTATTGCCTACAGAATAAAATTCCAAAATCCTTAGCATGGCATACATTTTGGCCCCAACCTGTACTTTCAGCTTTATTTCCTAGCCACACAGCATCAGGCAAACAGAATTTCTTGCCATTCTGGTTATTTGTTCCTTCAATAAGTATGTATCAAATGTCTACTGTGAGCCAGACACTGGTCTAAACTGTAAGGCTGGGGCGCCTGGGTGGCTCAGTCGTTAAGTGTCTGCCTTCGGCTCAAGTCATGATCCCAGGGTCCTGGGTTTGAGCCCCGAATCGGGCTCCCTGCTCAGCGGGAAGCCTGCTTCTTCCTCTCCCACTCCTCCTGCTTGTGTTCCCTCTCTTGCTGTGTCTCTCTCTGTCAAATAAATAAAATCTTTAAAAAAATAAAATAAAATAAACTGTAAGGCTATTGTTGTAAATAAGAGTCTCTGCCATAAGGATTACACTCTAATGGGAAATTGACAATAAACAAGATAGAAAGTAAACAAGGTAATTGGGCTGGCATTTAAGCTCTGTGAAGGAAATAAACAGAGTGACGGACAGTAAAGTAGAGAATACTTCGATTCCAGCAGTATTTTTGGGAGACCTAAAGGATGAGGTTGAATGAGCCATGTGAAGAGCTGGAGTAAGAACATCAGGAACAGGAAGTTCCAAAAGTCCTGAGGGGAAAGAGACAACCATAGTTGAGGGAAAGTGTAGGGAGAGCTTAATGAGAGGGAATTTGGTGATGGAAGTCGTTGGAAACAGGCAGAGCAGGTGATGTTTGAATTTTATTCCAAGTGCAAGAATAAGGAAGGGTTTTTGGTAGGGATAGGGCCAGCTGATTTTTTCAAAGATCACACTACCTACTGTGGAGAGTGGATTAGTGTCTCCTAGTCTCAGTACAACTGCTTTGCCTGGAAAACTACCCAGTCTTAAAGGCCTAGTTCAAATGGAAGCCTTCTTATTCCCAGTCCTATTATAAACTTCCTTTGTACTGCCATAACAACTTTGTGATAGCAATCATCACTCTCATAATATAATTATATAAAGTGACTGTTGATAATCTAATTATTTTTCCTTTTATTGCCAGCACCTTCTCTAGTATTAGATAAACATATTATAACTGTTTGATTAAAAAAATTAATAAATAAGTGGATGCGCAGTCCACTATTGTTGAAGGCCTACATCAGGATTCCAGAATTTGGGGGCAATATGGGTTTTGCGTCCTAGGCAAAAAACTCCTAGGTTTTTAAACATGAAATACCTGCACCATTCCCAAAGACGCTAAAGTCCCTATTTTGTTTAAAGCCATTATTATTATTATTTTTTTAATTTTCGGAGGTGGTGGCAAGGGTTTGAGAGTTTATCTTAAAAAAATAAATAAGCAGCTGATACCCGTCTCACCAATCCTAGTTCACTGACAACCAGGTCTGTTAGTTTTCTTGAGAAATTCGGTGCTGCAGTACGAACCGGAAGCAGCTTTTGAGCCAGCATTGCTGACTGAACTATTTTAAAAATGTTTCCATCACGGATCCAGCTACTCCTCCGAACAGGGTACGGGTCTAGAAGTTTTGAGAGAAAAAAAAACATTCATCAAGTTCCATTTCCTAGTATGGAGTCCAAGGAGACGAAAAACAGTCCTCTAATAAAGAAATTAGGCAGTGCTTCTCTGGCAGTAGTATTTCTCCTCGGCTGCCCTAATTAATAGGAAGCCATTGTCTGCACCTACCCGCTAGCGGTCCCTTAGAGCTTTACTCCATTCAGCTCACCAACTGTTCAAGATGGCTACAAGAGCACTTCCGGCATCTTCCCGAACTAGGCCCGCCTTCATTTGCGTATTTTCACCGCGCCGGGGGCGGGACTTAGACTTAGCTTTTGATTGGTCAACTTAACTAGCGACTTTTCCCCTCCGCGACAGTTTCCCGAGGTGCCTAGTGCTTGAGCGGCACGGACGAGAGTGAGAAGGAAGGCAAGATGGCGGACGTGCTGGATCTTCATGAGGCGGGGGGCGAGGATTTCGCCATGGATGAGGATGGGGACGGTGAGGACAGTGGAGGCAGCTGCGGGAAGCGGGGAAGGTGCGAGAGAAGGGACTAATAGGAAGATAATTTCCTTTCCCGTCAGGGAGGATGGGATTCGGGGAATCGGGTTTCAGTTGGATTAGAGACAGCGCCCCCTTCGGGAGGAATGCGGGCGGGACCGGGAAGGGAATGGGACTGGAGGTGGTGGGGCTGCTTTCAGATCATGTGTCCGTAAAGAGACTATTGTTACCAATACTTGTTATTTTTGTTACTCATTCTTTCACTTCTGGGGCTCCAGAGAGCATCCACAAACTGAAAGAAAAGGCGAAGAAACGGAAGGGCCGCGGCTTTGGCTCCGGTGAGTGTTTGTGGGGAAAATGGGTCTAGAATGGCGATATTCTACGAGTTTTGGAGTCCCCATTCAGACTCATGGGGAACAGCGGGAGAATGGATTTCTGGTGATCTCTTGTATGTTCCATATAGAAGAAGGGTCTCGAGCGCGGATGCGTGAGGATTATGACAGCGTGGAACAGGATGGTGATGAACCTGGACCGCAACGCTGTAAGTAAAATGTAGCCTGTAGGGATCTGTTTGTAGGGAATTATGGACCAATGAAATAAAACCCAGTAGGAATGGGGTCGGAGATACCTTAACCAATCTCTGGAATCCCCACTTAGTCCACTCTTGTGATCTTGCTTGAAGTTTTTCTCTTGTGCTCAAACCTCCCTCCCTCTCCAACAGCTGTTGAAGGCTGGATTCTCTTTGTCACTGGAGTCCATGAGGAAGCCACCGAAGAAGACATCCATGACAAATTTGCAGAGTATGGGGAAATAAAAAACATCCACCTCAACCTGGACAGGCGTACAGGATACCTGAAGGTATCCCTAAGTGACACCCTATTGCCTCTCTTCCCGCATAACCTTTAGACAGCTTTGATAGTTCTCCCATGTTTGTTGTGATTGGCCAAGAGCAAAGTTGAAATAAAATGAGATTGGAAATTGATTTTGTCAGACATAGCAGGGACGGAAACAGACATTTTGTATGTACAATAAGGATATATGATGTACATTTGTTGTTAAAAGTTTATAGATTTTTGTATTTGAGTATGAGTTTAGATTTGAGGAAGAGGATACTTAGGTGGTGTTTGGTGGAATATGAGAGTTTTGATCTCTGTCTTTTCACTTGTCCCAGGGCTATACTCTAGTTGAGTATGAAACATACAAGGAGGCCCAGGCTGCAATGGAGGGACTCAATGGCCAGGATTTGATGGGACAGCCCATCAGTGTGGACTGGTGTTTTGTTCGGGGTCCACCCAAGGGCAAGAGGAGGTAAAGTGGAGAGGGCAAACTATCTTGGTGAAGGGAACATGAGCAAAACAGAATAAGGATGTTGTATTATGTTCCTCTGATGGGCCCTTCCTTTTCCCTAGAGGTGGCCGAAGACGCAGCAGGAGTCCAGACCGGAGGCGGCGCTGACAGGTCCTCTGTTGTCCAGATGTTCTCTCCAGAGATTCTACTTGACCATGCAGCCTTGGAGAAATAGGGCAGGGGTGGAACTCACTGTGTTTATATTTAATCTCTCACCCTACTTGCTTAGTGGGTTGGTTTTTGTTTTTGAGTTAGGAATAAATGTCCCATTTTTGTTTTGTACATTTAAAATTACTTTCTTCTTCTAACATTGCAATCTCGGAAGCACTATTTACAGTAAGGCAGTTTGGGTCACTGTGAAGATGCTTCTTGGGCCTCAATTCTGTGTGAATTTCTACATTAAATATAGTCTCAAGTTTCAGCTAGGGTGAGAGTAGAGACACTGCTCAGTACTTCTTTTTCTTGGAAGCTAAGAGAGCCCAGGTAGAAGTGAGGTGTTCTTGTGATATTAACACATAATTATTTTGTTCCTGTATACTCTGTTCCATGCAAATGGATGTTACAGGAATGTCTTTTTTGTTTCTCCTGTCCTTCCTGCTGCCATGTTTGTTTGTACTTGCAGCTGTCTAAGGGCTTGAATCTCCTGTCGGGGCATTCTCTCAGAACCTTTTTCTCTGGAAGAGTCTATACTAAGTTCCTGGTGCCTTCTTCGGCAGTCAAGGGTGAAGGCTCCATAGAGGAGAGGATCCAGAGGAGCATTGAGGAGGCCGAAAAGGAAAAGGATGTGGCTGAGGCTGGGGGGAACTTCAGTTAGCATGGTGGGAGAGAACCAGTACCACAGGCCCAGCAGGTAATAAGGTGTCCAGCAGAGGACGAAGGTCAGCAAGACAAGTAGGGCCAGTCGCAGGGCCCACAGACGAACACGGGAGCGATTGTCTAAGGAGCGATGGAGGGCAAATTCACCGGCAGGGGCTGGGAATTTAGAAAACACTCAAATTCAGAACCACTCAGCTTCTGAATTGAGTGTAGGGTGAACAGGCAGGGATGGTGAGCTGGAGTTCTCCCGATACAAGGAAGAGAATGTGGCAAATAGGAGGTAATGTTGCACATCCTCTTCCCTTCCCAAACTGGGATTATATGCTCCCCCCTCTCCCCTAGGGAGTATGACAGACAGGCTGGAGGAAAGGTTTTGATTGAGATGTGGTGTTACGGAGCTACTAAGACTACTTGAAGACTTGATGGTGTCCAAGACTAAAGGAGAACACTGATCACCTTCCTCCTCAATCTTGCCCAGCTAACTCAACAATGGAGGGTGGCTAGAGGCTGGTTACAACTGGAGGCATTTAGAAAATACCTGTAGCATCAGGTGCTAGAGGGATGGTTATGATGTCACTTTTGGTTTGATAGAAAACTATCAGATCAGTAAATGAGGCTAGAGGCAATAGTTTTTAGGGTATGGGTTAGGGCCCGGGGATTGGGGTCTTACCATGGTTCCCCTTCCTTGTCCGGGGACTAGACACACTGAGGACAATGCGGCTATAGCAGACGGTCATGGCAGTCAGTGGCAGCAGAAAGAGGCAGCAGAAGGTGAAGAGGTTATAGGTGATCTCTTGCCATCGAGCCTTGAAGCTGCCTTTGGTGACACACTGAGTGAAGGGGACTGGGCCAGCTCGGCGGACGGTGTGGAACAGGAACAGCTGGAGTGGAGTTTGAGGACTGTTAGAACTGGTCCCCCTTCACCCTTCTCCCTGGTCACACTATCCCAGTTCATCCTTAATTCTCTGCAAAGCTGGGTAGTGCTGAGTTCATCCATAGTGCCATATTTAAAAGGTTCAAAACTTGAGAATCCCTGTCTTCCCCTTAGGCTACGGAGCTAATCATTAAGTTTGTTAAATCCTGGGACTTAAAAGAATCTTGCCTCCTCCAGTACTGATCTAACATTGGGCTTTGTAAAAGGATGTTTCTACCACCTCACCAACATTTTTAGCTGAAATGATTTTTTTGATGTGTCTAATTCTGTGGAAAAAGAAATTTTGTATAAAATGGGTGCTGCTAAAATTTCAGGCCATTTTGCAGCCACTCTGTGAAGTGACCTTTAGTGATAGTCTTATGTACAATAACTATAACGGTGAAACAATGTTAAGTAATAAAATTTAACATTTTCCAAATGCTGTTGGCTGCCCCTTCCCCTTTTTGGTAAATTGCTGAGATTTTGGTTTGAATCTTAAAGAGTATTTTTCAGTTTAGAGCTTCAGGTTAGTACCTTGATTCAGGTAAGGCAGATTGAGTTACTATTAGCTTGATAAAAGTCAAGCTTAGTGGGTCTCTGATTCCTAGATCTAAGGCATTTGGGAAAGTGATTTCAGCAGGTGTGAGGGACTTTTAGGAAAGGTGAATAGTATCAGCCACAGACACAATTTTATGTTTGCCGTGTCCGGACATCACGGCCCCAAACACACTGCGAGCAGCTGCCCCAGACACAATTTTATGAATGGCTTGGAGTTATGATCAGCTACTCTGAGCTAGTCGGGGAGTCGTCTTTCCCCTTCCCCTGTCTTGAGTCCATATATTTGTAGGTTTTTTGGTTGGTTGGTTTGGTTTCTTTTTGCACTATGCCTAGATGTATCTGACATCTTGTGAAAAGGGGTTTAAAAATAAGCAAGGCTCCTGGACTTAGAGTTTGGTCTGTAGGCCTCCTTCTGCCTTTCCTTCCCCCTATTACATGCAGTTTATCACCCACTATAGAAACCTTCCTTTCAACCACTTACGATACTTAGAAACTTGAGCCTTCAAAGATAATTTCTAACTACTCCAATAGTCCCTCACCACACTTAAAAAAAGGTGTTTTTTTTGACATATTAGTCCTTGAAGGTAAGATTAATATTTTAAATAGAACATACGGGCAATGCAGAATTTATACAACAGGATGCTAATTTGGAACCAAAAATACCATCTTTTGCACATGTATCATAATGTTATCATCAGTTTGCCATTGAAACAAATGGAGATTGCAGTTGTCAGAATGTAACAAATGATGAAACTCCTATCTAATATCTTGTGGCCCATTGGTTTCAAGTGATTTAGCCAAAGTCATATAGCTAGTTAGCAGAGCCTAGACTCAGAAAAAACAAAGTAAAACAATGCAACAAAAACAGGCTTCTACCTCCCAGTCCACATTTAAAATTTGCTTCATATAAACAACTGTAATACCTTTTGCACTGAGGCAGCAATGCTGTTTTTTAAAGCTTTGGGTAGCAGAGGTCCTGCTTGCAGCATTGTTAGAAGCACTATTTTTTGTCTTAGAACTATAGTCAGACTAACTTTTGGTAGTTCTATTTCTAATATTTGAGGATTTAAGGATCACATTTTAAATCTGATTCTATAATGCACTGTCATTCCAGAGCCCCTTCTAGGTAGAATCCTAATCCTGGTCTACTCCTTCCCCTCAGAGGGAGGTGGTGGTTTTGGTTTTGGTCTTAAAGGAATTGCTTCATATTTCGTTTTTTTCTAGATTTCTAGTTCATTGTCAATACATGAGATTTGAGAACTGGTACTCAAGTTCAAATGCTCCATTTTCTTTCTAATTTTCTTTCCAGTTTTCACAATAAAGCTAGAATAAAAAATACAAATCTGATTATGTCACTCTCCATCTTTTACCTTAGTGTCTCTCCACTGCGTTCAGGATAAAGTACAACCTTAATATCTATAACCTACTCTTCCTTCCCATCCAGGCTCATTACTCACACATTTTCTTTCTTTCTTTCTTTTTTTAAGATTTTATTTATTTGACACAGAGAGAGAGGGAGAAGCAGGCTCCCCACTGAGCAAGGAGCCCGACGTGGGGCTCGATCCCAGGACCCCGGGATCATGACCTGAGCTGAAGGCAGCCACTTAACTGACTGAGCCACCCAGGCGCCCACTCACCCATTTTCTAGCTCTCAACTTTAGCTACAACTACTTTGAATTCCTCTACCTTCCACCCTCCCCAGCATTCCTCCTGCTTGAACTTGTCTAACACCTCTCTTATTTTAATCAAAAACAATCAGTGTTAATGTCTTTGAGAAGTTTTCCCTGACTGTCCAGGAGTGGGTCAGACATCCTCATTGTTCTTTAGCTCCTTATGCTTACCTTTAGCATAATGCTTTACTGCATACTTTATTATGATTGCATACTAATATGTCTTCTGCTCTAGTAAGTTTCCTGAAGGCAGGTCTTTGCTGCTCAATCCTTGATAGAGCATTAGAGTGTGCCTAGGGGTGATTAACACTATTTTTTGAATGGATGAGTGACTGTACCAGAGTTTTAACCAAAGCCCCTGACTTCACTGTCTTCTTTATAGACCCCCATATATGTTTTATCCCTAGAGTTTCTGCAACAGTCTCCTGAAGAAGAAGCTGGAGGATGCAAAAAGGCATAGGTACAGGGTACTGCTTTGAAGATGTAGGCTCTTAATAGAGATACAGGTTAACATGCAATGATCTTAATTTGCAAAACATCAGAGGCTCCCCTCTGAGCATTAATGGGTGACCACTGGTCAAGCACACCCCTTGACTCCAAACGCTCTTGTTGTTTACCCAAATTATTGTCCAGTCTACCCTTGAGTCCCAACAAGTCACTCACCTGGGGCAAGGCAAGCAGGAAACTAAGTCCCCAGGCCGTCCCCAGAAGTTTCCTTCCAGCTGAGCGGGGTCCAAGCGGGTGGAGTACGGCTGCCTGACGGTCAAGTCCAATCACCACAGGGAGGAAAGCTGCAGCATACATGGCCATTAGTTTCAGGAACATGAGTGTCCAACATGCGATGTCCCCGGCCAGCCACTGAACAGTGATATTCCAGATGGCATCTAGGGGCATAACCACAAAAGTGACTAGTAAGTCAGCAGCTGCTAAGTGGGCAAAGAGGAGTCGTACAGGGGACGGGCGGATTTGGCTGGGTTGTGGCCGAGTCACTGACCAAAGGACGGTCAGGTTCCCTGCAGCTGAAGAAATGAACAGCACAATGGTCACTCCCACTCGGACCTTGGCTGCAGCTGAGAAGGTGGGCAGCTCTGAGCCCTCCACCTCTACTCCTGATCCAGCCCAGACCTCCTCCCCCGCGGCTAACCCCCGAGGGGTGCCATTGGCTGCAGACATGGTGACCTGGAAGGGAAAGGGGTGGGAGGATGAAGTGTTAGTATGAAGAGGTTAGCTTCGTCCACTGATTCTTCGCCCTCCTCCTTATTAGAATCTGAAGCTGGTTATTGCGAATTTCGTCCATTAAAGCCTCTGTCTCTGGAGACTCTCCA